TACAATTACATGAGAAGGAGGACAATCACACTACCAACTATGCATTTTCGATAAAAATGACGAATATCTAATACAGATTTAAAAATACTGAGTATTGTTTAAATATTAATTAAAACATCAATTAACATATGTAAAACGTTAAAAATATTTTTCAAAAAAAAAAAAAACTTTTTATATTGCTAGAGTAGACTAAGTCTTTAATAGAGATTCTTGTAATAAAAAAATAGAACTAAAAGATACTAGGTGTAAACGATAGTTGAGAAAAAGTTTTCAATTGACGCTCATTTGCACAGGTAGAGAAAAATCGTGTCGCGATACCGATCGGCTCCGACAGCTGCTGCCGCGCGTCTCTCTTCCGGTTCACCTACGTGAATGATTATTACGCACGTCGCACGGTGGGGAAATGGGAGCAAAACGAGCGTAGGAGGGAAAAGTCGCGAAGGTTACGAGACGCGCGTTACTTTCTCCGGCGCGAAATCGCGAGTATCATTTCCGAATCGCGATACACATACGGATGACGTAAGCACTGGATTAAATCTCCTTCCTGTCTCCTTTCCTCCCCCCCCCTCCTCTCCACTCCAATTTCATACGTGCTATCATCCGCCCCCGTACCATCTTTGCACTATCGATTCTACGATGTGCGTGTTGGGGGACCAAGTTAATTCGTCAGGGTCAGTGTAGGCCGCCTGGTTATGAGATGAACCGAATGATCGAGGAAGCGTTTGTCCTCGTGATTTGACTGAAATTGACTTTCCAACACTTTCGAAGAAAGTATTCTGCGATAAGAAAGCGAGTAGTCTTTTGCATATCGATCGAAAATCAGTGTCACATATTTATCCAAATTAGTTTACACTCATCTTTAAGTTATTGAAAAATAATGGTATATCCATACCGGTGATAGAGATCGTCCTCGACAATGTCTACTAACAAATTTAAGTGCTGCATTAGATTTTTATCGTAATCGATCCGATCGAGTTCGATCAGCGTACGGCGTAATTTCCGTTATCAGCTGTTAAAATTGATCGAGGTCCAAGATATGTTGCGCGTATCACGTGTCATGTGACGTGCACACTTTCACGCAAATCACGATACAAGACGCGTCCGTGTTTAACCGCCAGCTACTCGGGAAATGTATATACAAGACGGGCGTGCCTCGTCGTATCTTTGCGGAGAAAGAGAGAATATCTCCTTTAAAGGAGAACAAAGAGAAATAACAGAAAAAGGAATTTTATTGCACACATGCAAAGTGAGTATAAATGTGCAAATATATACATATTTATTTATTACGAATTTATATAAATTTACTATGATAAAAGAATACCTGTTAATATATAAAACAAAACAGATCATAGAAAATATAATTAGTTATATAATTCTTTTACACAAAAATGAGACTAGAAAATAAGATCTCTATATCAGTCCTCTATATCAAATAAAAAATTAGTTGTCAAGTAAAAGCTAATACAATACAATAATTAAAAAACGAATGAATATAAAATAAAATACGATAAAAATTGGAATATAAAATAAAATTGTTGCAAATAATTTTGTTTAAATTTTCTTTATGAATTTTTCTTATACTTACAAAATAATTATATTACAAATATCGATATCTAAAATAATTAATAATACGAAATTTAATCTTTTCAAACGTATACATATCTTTTTATAAAAATAATTTATATAAATATTCCATAAATAAAGGTAATCAATGCTATATAATAATTAATAATTAATGCAAACAAACAAAACAAAAAATGTATTTTTTAAGTAGCAAACCTTGCGTTGAAAAATGTTAATTCAAGTTAATAAGAGGTGAATAATAGAAACAAAATATCACAGCTGAATTTATTAGTTAAAAAGATAGATCGTTATGTATTTCAAATTTTAAAATTCTTGTGCTTACAATTTGAAAATTCCTAATACCGTAGTTGAGGTAAACGTTTTCAATGATCGATAGATAAAGTGCGAAAAATAATTCGATAGAGTGCGAAGAATAATTCGAAGTACTCTATGATTTTCAATCGATGAAAGAGTTTGGTAGATGATTGGGTATATCGAGCACATGTAACGGGGATGAGTAACGAAAATGATGGCGTGTGGAATGTGCGAATGAATTATTAATAGAGAGGCGCAGGAACGTCATCGGTGAGCAAACAGTGAATCAATTTTACGCGCACACGCGTAAGAATTTTTCTGACAATCAAGATCAACGAATTCCTTCCTCTGATTCCAGCACAGAGATGTATGTTATCAAAGTATATCAAAGTATCAAAATATAAAAGTATTTTTTGATCTGTATTAATATAACGTATAAAAAGATACTTGGCAATTACATCGTTTGCTACTTTTCTATTTTTGTATAGCATTTCTATTTTTACATCTCTCGCGATATTTTTGTACTCTTGAAGGAAAACAAAATTGATGCGAATAATTTCTACAGTAATTTCGATAATTTCTACAACAGAATTTCTACGTACAGAATATGATCAGGATATGTTGACGTTACTTGTCATTTTTTTTTCTCCAAATATGTATCTCTCAGGATGCGAGTCGATCGTAAAGTCGATATATTGTCGCTGTCGCGGCCGTCGGAGATTTCACGAGAAAGGAAGCAAAAGAACATATGCTGCTCCTCTCCACGAGCAAGGTGCGTGGAAGGAAAGACGACGTTGCGCGAGGAGGAGGAAGGGGGCAGAAGAATCGCGCGGGCGGGGGACAGGGGAAACCGCGGGGGGACACTCGCCTGCGGCTAGCAACCGAAAAGGCAAAACTCCTGGCGAACACGAACTGGTTTTCGGGGATATCGTTACATGTCGTTGGCGAAAATACGACAGCGATGGCATTGGTGTGCAGTTAGCTCTTTCTCTCTTTCTCTTGAAAGAGGGAGAACAAGAGGATATTTTTCCAAAAAAATATTACGAAGAAAATACAGAGATATTACAACCGTACAATTATAAAATGAGAGCTTGTTTAAATCTCAGCAGACTTTTTTAAATCTCAGAGAGAAAACGAAGATTGTTATAATAGATAGTAAAATATGAAAAAAAATTCTATATATTCAAAATCACTCTGTTGTACGATTTTTAACGAATAATTGTTTTTTAGCTACAGTATCTCATGTAAAAGATGTTGGAGAGTTTGACAATTAGAAAGAATGTTTGTTAGAGATGTAAAAAAGAAGAATAATGGAACAAGAAGTGTAAGAGAATAATTGTTCTTTGAAAACGAGAGAAAATAAAGATACACGATAAAAAGATTCCATTTTTCTAAGAGAAATTGCAGTTGTGATTGCGAGATTACAGTGAGTTTGCCCAAGGTGATTTTTGAAAAGTTAAATAAATAGATGAAGATATATGGATAAAGCGTTCAATAAATAATTTAATGCAAGAAGGTAAGTACACATGAGAGAGACAGAGGGATAGATTTATTGCAAAAACAAAATCACGATTGCGTAGTCGTGAAATTACGAGTTTGCTCAAGGCGAAAAATGAAGACATCGATACAATAGATAGATAAATGATCAGACGTACACGAGAGAGGGTAGTGCCCGAGGGAAACACTTTTTAACTATTAGCTATCTGAAACGAGTCGAGTTTAATTATCACGCATACAGTCGATATATAAACTTCTTATAAAAAACTCAATTCTCGAAACAATCGCGTAAACACACAAAGATAAGGATAAGAAGCTCGTTTCGATAGATATAGATATAATGTGACATCTATCTTAACTTCGATTTAAACTGCCAGAGTTGATCAGAGCGATGACAACTGATTATAAACTAATATAAAAGTCGGATAAAAGAACGAATCTTGAAATTTGGGAGCCTGGACTTTTCACGTGTCTTTTATCGTTCTACTACTATTCGCGACTTCAAGGATACAATTACAATACAAATGAGTCACGTTTCATACACACACGCACACTGTTCGTTTGAAAGGATTGTATTCATTCTGAATGAGATAAGAACGTTTCCCCGACAATGAACATTCAAATGTCCCCTGAATATTTTATATCAAACAGCATTTAAAGTCAATATTTTAAAAGAATAAGATGAAGGAAGAATAGCAATCGAACGTGAAGAAAGAAATCTAATTCTAAGTAAATTTTTACATTCAATTGTTGAGACATAATATCGAAATTCGTCACGAGTGACGTTTCTCGTATAATTTCCTCTCAAGGCGAGACAAGAGATTACAAAGTCACGTCAAGCAATATATCGTCATCTGCTGATGCGTCGTTTCGTACAAAATATTGTCTTCCAATATTATGTGGAAGCACGTTTCGTAGCCGAAAATGGGGAGGGGGGGGGAAAGTAGGAGAGGGGGTGGAGAGAAGAAAGGAAAAAAGTAAGAAACGCACGAACAACGGCGACTTTGTTTACGCGTGACGAGGAGAATGCAGGAGAGAATTTTGCGAGAGAATGAATGGAACGAGCGGCCATCGGCGTTTCAAGTAGGTAGATAGATAGGTATGCGACTCGAAAAACGTTACGTACGCGACTACGATCTGGCTGCCCGAGACTCGCGTACATATAAAATAGCGTACAATCGTGTAATTCCGTACGTATGACACGGACTTGGCGAAGTCGTCTCGCGAGTCCACGATTGTTTCTCCTCGTCGTCGGTGACGGGGACGGTAAGACTCGCCGTAAACATGCCGGGGAATGGCAGTCGGACGGATCAACGGACGAGCGTGTTCAAGTGGACGCTGAACGCGCGAGATGTACGATTGGCGATGCCCTCCTCCCGCGAACGCATTTTCGAACCGAGTGCCTCAGAGGACATTTGCAAGGTGGAATTACGAGGATCGCGAGGTCGGGTCGAAGCGGCCTGCGGCGCTGCGGGCGAGAAGGGGAGGGGAGGGATTGCCGCGAGAAGAGAGGAACGACAAGGACGAGCGTAAGCAACGACCGCGAAGGAGAAGGAGAAAGAGAGAAAGAGAGAGAGAGAGCGCGCGCGCAAGAGAGAGAGAGAGAGAACAAAAGCGAGACTCACCCAAAGTTCCGTGCCCCAGCTCATGTTTGCTGGGCCGGGGTGAACCAGCGGGCGCGACGATGGCGAGTAATGCCTCCGGCGACACTTCACATGTAGCGCTTCGCTGCTTACTTTCCGTGCACACCCTTCGTCGCACTATCGCGCACTACCGCCGTATCCACAGGCGCCGCGAGGGGCGCGAGGGGAGGGAGAAGAGGGACGGGGAAAAAAAAGAAAACGCGCACGTTAGAGATCGCGCGTCGGAGATCGCCCGCCACGCGCACGATCACACGGGCAGCTTCAACATGTCGCCGCTCTCGTAACCACCGTCGACTACCTGCCTCGCCGCTTCCGTTACCACCACTGTTCGCGCCGTCGCCAGGGACTGGCCGCGCCGCCGAAAAATCGCAATCGCCCGGAATCCCGGCGTGGCGCGCCCTGTCGGCCGCGCCGCGAACGACGCGCCGTCCAACCGCGCGCGCATGCGCGGCAGATGGCGGCGGTGCGGCGCGCCAAATTTAAATCGAGATCTTGCATCTATTCTGAAATGTTTTGGAAATAATTAAAAATATTATTAGCGACGGGCTGTCACTTGCGTAACGATAATTGATAATTTGCAATATTTTATGTAGTCTCGTGTACTAATTGTTTTAGAGAGAATCCTTAATTAATTAAATATCTAGACGATTTTAGAATTTTAATTTTTTAAAATTGTGATTATACCGAAAGGCTATGTATACAGACGAGTATATATACTTTTTTTATAAAGCTGTCGATTATAAGTTTACCGGGAATGTTAATTTTTTTAGAAATTTTGATTCTTTTTCTCCACACAAAAAATTTTTTCATCTAACCATACTTACAATTTTGCCAAATCGAACAATAGGAGGACGGGAAATTCGAACTTGAAGTTCAGTCGAAGTACAGTCGAATTGATAGAAAATGAAATCAATTTGCGAAATTGTTCAAATTTACAGTATTTACTTATTTTAATTGTCAGTGTATTCGTGACACATAAATTATTTTAAATAATCGATTTCGCGGACGCGAACTGAACAATATGGCGTTGGATGACTCGAGCAAGGTATCAAAGGTCAATGGATTCGGAATAAATGAATTAATCTTTATCTCAATTTAATTATTACGTACGTTTCACTTGCACGCTGACGCATGATCTCGGTCGTGATATACATTCTGTCTTCAAACGTATTTTTCGGCGAACAGGGGGACATGAAGTGCCTACTATGGAGGTTGTATTCACTCTTGAGATTTTTCTGATTGAAATATAATTTCTGTTGATTGAGATATGATCATTCAAGTGGCATGCTATTAGCACAATTATATTAATCTATATTAATCTTGAGAATTATTGCAAGCATTTTTTTGAAGGGGCATTAAATGTGAAATAAATTCTTTATAAATTCTAAAGATAGTATGTGATTCATAACATTTTTTGTCTTTTATTTAAAGAACATTAAGATGCAGAAATTTCAAAATAAATGTACCAAGATGTAGAAATTTCAAAATAAATATATCAGTGTTATGATAGTATAATAATTTTTTGACGGTAAACAGAATGTCAATCTGATAACTGTCATTCTTATTCGCGAGAATTATTTTATTCTGGATAATATTTCATTTATTTGTAAGGATGAGACAAATTAATAGTTTAATTTTGACAATAAGAATTCTCTCTTAAAAAAAAGAATCTGCATAATAGAAAATTAATAGCATTCTCAGTTAGTGATTTCTACTTGTTCATTAAAATAGTTTTGACAATATATGTACAAAGAATACATAAATTATATACTTATATAACAATATTATATAATAGTATCAAATATTCTTTAATATGAATATTATTAATAATGTTTTATGTTATTAAATATTTTTCTAATATTTAATAATATAATAATATAAAACAAAGCATAGTGTATTTAATATATACTAATGATATAAAATATATTGAATACAGGTAGTAGAATTATTTAATAAGTTCAATGAGAGCCTGGCATCATACATATTTTCAAGATGGATTGGAAGATTCATAGAAGAATATCAGACATCAAGGACAATTTTTATCATTGGCACAACTCTACTGCTTATTTTCTTGATTGTGTCAATCTTTGTGCTGCGCAAATGGAAAAACAAAGAATTTCTGCCGGAGGTAAAGGAGTTTGTTGGAGTAGGCACTGGAAAGCCAAGATTCAGGAAGAGAGACAAGGTTCTCTTTTATGGCAGAAAAATGCTGCGCAAAGTAAAATCAATCAGTGGCCAAGTACATGCTACTGGGCAAGGAAAGAAGAGACGAGCAGTCATGAGATTTGCTCGTCGATTGTTACAACTTAAAAAGGAAACCGTACCACAGCAGCTTAAGGTATGTTTCATATAATATATAACTATAATAATAATTAGTAATTTTATTTAATCAATTGTTTAATTCTAAGGTATTGGAACCACCCGCTGAGTATCTGGAAGAAGATTTAGGTCCTGGAGAGAGAGTACCGCCAGATGCTTTATATATACTGCAAAGTATTAGAGTCTTTGGCCATTTTGAAAAACCTGTGTTTCTGAAGTTGTGCAAACACACAGAAATTATGAATTTATCAGCTGGCAGTACATTGTTTAAAATTGGAGATCCTGATGAAAATTTATTTATAGTGCAACAGGGTTTAGTCAATGTATATATCACTGGATCTGATGGCTCTCAAATATCATTGAAAATAGTGAAAACAGGAGAATCTGTTACCAGTCTTCTTAGTTTTACTGATGTACTTACTGGGCATACAAGTACATACAAAACTGTATCTGCAAGAGCAGTGGAAGATTCTATTGTAGTAAAGTTACCAATGTACGCGTTTCAAGAAGTAAGTTATGTGTATATATTGTGTGTATGTATATATATAAAATTTTCTTTTGTATTATATGTTTTTTATTTATAAAATATTTTATCTTATTCTTTCTCTTTTTTATGATATTATAAATCATATATGTGATTGTTGATATTTTTGCAGGTATTTCAAGATTATCCTGAAGCCTTTGTTCGAGTTATCCAAGTCATTATGGTACGCTTACAGAGAGTTACCTTCACTGCATTGCATCAATATCTTGGTCTTTCTGCAGAATTAGTTAATCAGGGATCACACAAGAAAAAACAAAGTCCATTCTCTGGTTCGCCAGTACGATCAAGGACCAGAGAGAATTTTGCTTCACAAAACGAAGGTATACCTGGTATATTTCCAGTCAGTACATCGGAAATGCACGATACCAGTGATCTTTCTCATCGTGATGTGCTTAATATGAGTAGTAGTTCTCAGCCTATTCCCATACTTGGAAATCGTCGGTGAGAAACTTTTAAAATAATATATTTCTTTTAATTTATATCAAATAGATTATGCAAGTTTTAAAATAACATTTCAGATAGAATAATTTTTGTCGTTAATTACTTATTATTATTCTATGACAGAAGAAAAAACAGTGCTGACTGGAAGAATCAGAATCTAAATTCGCTAAATCAGAATTTAGCAGATATGGTACCAGAATGTGACTCTCACTGGTCAATTCCACCTTCATCGATGGCATCTCAATCAGTGCATGGATCACATACAGAAGCTTCTCAGTCTGGAAATACTTATCCTGGTAAAAAACGCCAAACCAATGAGACAGCACAGCAACAGCAGCAGCAACTAGATGAAGCACAGCTCGTGCAGATAGCCACCGACGCATTTGTTCGTGAACTCGGCATAGAGGATGAGACGGTACTCAAAGACAAAGTGCAGATCAGAGAAGTACCAGCTGGTACTTATTTAATGAAAGAAGAATCTCATAAGGTTTGCCATTTTGTATCTATATTTTCCATTTTTATTTACATATAGATTGTACATAGAACAAATTAACCTTTTTTACGTTATATATTATAATCTTTAATTTAATCATCTTACAGGATGTCGCACTTGTATATGTACTTTCGGGCTCTCTGATAGTAAGCCAACGCGTATCAGAAGGCCGGGATGCGGGTCAAGAAGTACACATGTTTAGCGCTCATCAGGGTGAAATTGTCGGTGGTTTAGCGGTATTGACCGGCGAACCATCCTTTTACACGATCAGAGCGAAGCATCCCAGTCGTATCGCGCTACTTAGCAAATCAACGTTCTTCGCCATCATGCGAGATCAACCTACAGTCGTGTTGCATGTTGCACACACTGTCGTTCGCAGATTAAGCCCGTTTGTAAGACAGGTACGAATATTTACAAAAATAAGCAATTATAAGAAAACAAATATTTATATAATAAACAAGCTATTATTTCTTAAATAGGTGGATTTTGCTCTCGACTGGTTGTTTCTTGAAAGTGGAAGGGCTGTTTATAGACAAGGAGATGAATCGGACTCGACTTTTATAGTATTGAGCGGACGATTGCGATCGGTAATTACTTACAAAAACGGCAAGAAAGAACCGGTAGCAGAATATGGAAAGGGCGATTTAGTAGGAATCGTAGAGATGGTTACGCAAACTCCGAGATCAACGACAGTCATGGCGGTCAGGGATTCCGAATTAGCGAAGTTGCCGGAAGGTTTATTCAATGCGATTAAATTGAGATATCCAATTGTCGTCACGAGATTGATAAATCTTCTCGGCCATCGTATACTCGGCACTTGGCAACAAGCGAAAAATGGAAATAATGACACTCAGTAAATATCATAATATGATAATACATACAATTTTATTCTAGTTATATTGTACAAATTATTTTATAATTACCATTTTACATTAATAATGTTAATAATTATTGTTTTTAATTAAGATAATTTTAATTATAGGCGAGCCGCAGCAACAGTCGATGCTAGACCCGCGCAAATAAATTTCTCAACTGTTGCCATAGTTCCCGTGTCGGATGATGTACCATTAACTGCCTTTACTTATGAATTGTATCATTCTTTATGTGCCATTGGACCTTGTCTTCGTCTAACATCGGATGTCGTAAGAAAGGTATTGCAGGTTCAATAACGGTCATTTCTAATTGTAATTTGATTATTCAAATATTATTTATTTTAACATATTTTTATTTTCATTACGTATAAGTTAATTTAATTAATTTAATTTAATTTATTAATTTATTATTTATTATTATAATAAAGTATTAAATTAAATAATAAATTGGATATTATTTAATCAGTTTTTATATCATTAATGGTACAGGAATATCAATCTATTTTGTCTTCTCTTTTTACATAGACTTTAGGAACAACCATTATGGAACCCGCAAATGAGTACCGGCTCACTTCCTGGCTCGCGCAACAGGAAGATCAGCATAGAATTTCTTTGTATCAATGCGATTCGAGTTACACGTTATGGACTCAGCGATGTGTAAGGCAAGCCGATTGCATTCTCATCGTGGGTCTAGGTGATCGACCACCATCAATTGGCCGAACGGAGCGGGAGGTAGAGCGATTGGTCATGCGAACACAGAAAGAGCTAGTGCTGCTACACAAGGAACATAATGGCCAGCGACCCACGAACACTGTTCAATGGTTAAACATGAGATCGTGGGTGTCCAGTCATCATCACATCCAGTGTCCGAAACGGATGTTTACTAGGAGATCGCAGTACAGAATTGTAAGCGATAATCATCAGGCAATGTGTCTAAATTATCTTCATTTATATTTAATTTTATTTATTAGAAATATCTCTTACAATTAATATCTTTCTTTTTTTTTATAGAACGAGTTGTATTCCAAAGTTCTCATGTCTGAACCGAACGTACACAGCGATTTCAGCAGATTAGCGCGATGGCTGACCGGCACCTCGGTAGGTCTCGTACTAGGTGGTGGCGGTGCGAGGGGTGCTGCTCACGTAGGCATGCTCAAAGCCATCATCGAAGCGGGTATACCCATAGACATGGTCGGCGGCGTTAGTATCGGCGCCTTCATGGGCGCCCTTTGGTGCATGGAAAAGAATATCACTACCACCACGCAAAAGGCCAGGGAATGGTCTAAGGTGATATAGAGCGGAATTTTTTCTACAATTTCTAAGTGTAACGTTTCTTGCGCTACACTTTTTTTTATATATATATTGAATTTTTAAAATAAAATATATAAACTTATAAAATTATTTAATTTATGTCTCCCTGAGATTTATTAAGATTTTATATAAAAAAATTTATTTCTCTTTTAATAACTATTTTAAAATCTTATCACTATTCTCAAATTGAGAAATTTTGTATATAAAACGTTATATATTTTTATCTATTGACACAGAAAATGACGCAGTGGTGGAGGCAAATTATGGATTTGACTTATCCAATGACTTCGATGTTCTCTGGTAAAGATTTCAATAAGACTATACAACAAACCTTCGGCGATACATACATAGAAGACTTGTGGCTTCCGTATTTCACTATAACCACAGACATCACGGACTCCTGCATGCGCACGCATAGACACGGTTCGTATTATTTATAATTAATTAATTAATTAATTATCTTGCATTTCTTAATTCTAAACATTGGCAAAACCTTCAGTTTTATTTCGTGTATGCTCTTTTATTAATATTTCCTCTACCTACGATTTACGCGAATATAAAAGTTATATATATAATTTTTTTTTAATGATTTCAAAGATTATATATAAATGTTAAATCCAAAAAAATCTAAAATGTATAACTGAAAACTTTGACATATTGTCAAAAATATATACTTTGAGAATATATAGAATGAATCAAAATATAAAGACATAAATGTTTTATTTTATAGATAAACAAATAAAGTGTCCAAAACTATTGCCTTCGTAATTAGTTTCGGATGCTTAAATCAAAAGTAAAAATTGTTTCTTCTTGATTTATCAAAAAATTTGCTGTGGCATGACGATCTTCTGTTTTAACTTTAGATGCATTCTTTAGACATGCATATTAGCATAGATCGTAGCAGTAGAATCTTTAACGAACGAGAATGAGCTTTCCGGACAACTATTGTTGACGTACTCTCCGTTTAATGCCGTTTTATAAAGAGAAAATTGAGCGAGGCATATTTTTGTTTTTACTCGAATATAAATTGCAAATTGATATATGTTTGTCTTCCTGTATACTTACTGTATACTACTGTTAAATTATGGTATCGAAGAAATTCGAAATTGCTCATCTAACAAATATTTTTATCCAAAAATTTGTTTTCAAAGTATATTATTTATCTTTTTAACATGAAACAATAATATTTATAACAATAATTAATTTAAATAAAGCATTTAAATGGATATCTAATCTTTAGACAAATAAATATTTACTTTAAATATAAATTTTTATATTAAAATTAATTTGAGTTAAATCTAATAATATAGTCTGAGTAAATTCTGCTTAAGAAAATTTATTTTTTCTTAGATTATATAGCCCCAATTATGATATATATACAGTAAGAAAGTTTAATTATGATTAGATTATAACTTAAGAATACAGGAAGTAATTGACTTTGAATAATATATACGAGTAAACACAGAATAAAAGAATTAAAGAGCATAATTCGTGTTTAGGATCGCTGTGGCGGTACATTCGGGCCTCGATGTCATTGTCTGGTTATATGCCACCCATGTGTGATCCTGTTGACGGCCATCTCCTGCTCGACGGCGGGTACGTCAATAACCTTCCAGGTAATTCAGATTGCATTGATGAACATCATGTGTTAATTTTGCACAGTCAATGCAATCAGGATCTAACCAGAAACATTCATAAAAATATAATGTGTCATTAAATGTTAAAATAATATGAAACTTGTGTAGAAGATATTTAATTGAAAATTGTTATATACATATTTTTATATTGATAATAAATTTATATATATTTTACATTATAATTACAACTTTATATAGTTTGGCAATTTATCTGATATTGCATTGAGTATATTTCTTTTGCAACAAATTACCAGCTTTTTCTTAAAATTCAACCATACTAGTAGCATAATTTTAATGAGACTTTCATATTTAATTTTTCATATTTAATTTGGCATACCGTTAAAAATTTATTTACGAATATCAGTAAAACAAAAAATGATATGAGAAACGCGTCAAGAGCTCACTCTCGTTGATAAAAGATTGCATTTACGATTTAATTCTAAATAGTTAAGTCGGCTCAGGTTTACTATGGAGATATATTCGCGGCAGTATGACTATCGCGGGGGTTTTTCCTCCGATTTGTGATCCCCTTGATGGGCACCTTTTGGTCGACGGGTGCTATGTTAATAACGTGCCAGGTATTCATTTTATCTATTCATGTTAATCCTGATTGTGTGGTTTCTCAACATATTCTCTCATCAATAATATAAAAAATGTCTAGAAAACTATAACATAATATAAAAAAAGTGAATAGTGAATAGTGAAAAGTTTCTATGAAAAAATATAATACATGTATAAAATTAGAAGTGCAATTTTGAGATGAACGAAATAATGTATCATTATGCTACACAACAAACAAACTTCAATACATCTATACATTAAAACATCTTTAAATTAGAACAATTTATAATATCGAAGCTTGAACTTTAATAGAACAAGTTGATGTTAACGTTCTCGATTCATGCATTCTCTATATTTCCGTTCAAGCTGACGAAATGTTGCGGCAAGGAGCACATCACATTCTGGCCATCGATGTCGGCTCACAGGATGACACTGATCTGACGAATTACGGGGACTCGTTGTCCGGCTGGTGGTTATTGTGGAAACGATGGAATCCGTTCGCCACACCGGTGAAGGTACCAAATCTACCGGATATTCAATCCAGACTGGCGTATGTGAGTTGCGTACGTCAGCTGGAAGAGGTGAAGAGCTCAGATTACTGCGAATACATCAGGCCACCGATCGACAAATACAAGACTCTTCAATTCGCTAATTTCGATGAGATCAAGGACGTCGGATACCAACACGGTATGAAATCTTGTGTATTTATATTGATCTTAAATCCAGTTTCAATTTGTAAAGAATACGATGCTAAATAAAAATTATAGATCATATTGTAATTAAATATTTTCCCAATAATAAAATATCCATGTGCTTATAAGATTATCTATAAAAATTAAATGAATCGTGTTCTCAGGAAAAACATATTTCGAAGGCCAGTCGAAAGCTGGAGTTCTGCCTCGATTCAATGCAGATCGAGAAAATGCGAGAGCTATGCGAGCAAAGTGTCAGGCAGCTAATCAACAATCACCCTCTTCGTATACTTTCACCGATCTTGCGCAGATGGTGTGTAAAGTTTCGCGCGTTAGTCGATATATGGATTTTGACTTAGATTCTGATTCGGATGAACTGGAGGAATATGAAGCAGATCTAGAAGAGGACGCACAGGAAGTAGGATATGCGTCTGAACCTACTGCCGGTATTTTAGATCAAGTAAGTGTCTTTTATTATTTTCATTATGGTCTCTATATATTAATTTTTAACAAATCTATTATAATCGGAAAAATTGGATCATAAAAAGAGATTTAACTTATTACATAACTTATATTTCTTATTTTATTTTTAAAAAAACTGTCCTTAAGCTCATATTATGTCTATATGAATTATGTGAAAAATTCGTAAAATTCTTTTTCCGATTAAATGTAATATATATATATATATATATATATATATATATATATATATATATGTTATAATTATTTATCTACGATTAATTTGGTATATATATATACATAAGATGGGATAAGAATTAAATAATATGAATACAATCGAGGAGGAAATGATTTCTTACAATGTAAGTGGAATTTAAATGCTGAGGAAATTGCTTCATCAATGACGACTTCGACATAATGATTATAATCTTTTATATTTTATCATATTCTAATCTTTTATAATCTTATTATATTCTATCAATTATCATAAAAGATTTTTTCTGATACGATTTTTTAAAATTATCTTCACATAAAGAATTACAGCCTACCTAGTTATACCACTCATTTTTCCCATCTCTTATATATAAATATAATATGAAATCAATTTTTATTTAAAAAATATTTACCTTTCATTTTATGTGCATAATACAAATATAGTAAATATTTATCAAATATTTCTTCACAATAATTCATAATTAGAAATATAATTTTCTAAAAATTTATTTTAGAGCCCTGAGGATAATCTTTTAAGGCGAAGAACTGGCGTTTCGCTTAGCTTGTCTGATACCGAAGCGGAGTCGGAACTAGAATATCATGCGACGATTTTCTGAATATTTGTTTATTCACGATATCATATCTCACTCAACATAATCAGTTCAATATAAATTTAGCTCAGATAAATTTAGCACAAATCTTTTAATCGCATAAAAATCAAATTCACTTTTCAGTAAGCGAGCGGTGTCAGCGATAATCTACATCAAAGTACAAAAATAATTGTTATAAAAGATATAATCATTGGAACATCATTATAAAACTACATCACAGTACGATATGTATACCCGTATACGCGTATCGTAATAAATGATTGATATAATTATTGTTATTATCGCTATATATTAAATATTATATATTAAATACATAATTTTACGATTTCTAAAAAAGGCAATCTCTTATTATTTCAATGACCTTTTATCATATTGTGTGTTGCATATATAATAACCTATCATATCTAATCTAAATATTCCTTACGATTATTATGTCTAATATTTTTCTTAGGATTATTTCGCGGCTACATAAATTCACTATATACACAAACTATTTATTTTTTTTTATACAAATTTATACAAAAGTTTATTTTCTATAATAAAATATTTTTATAATCCTTTAGAATTTGTAAAATTCTCTACAAATTTATGCCAAATAAGAAAAAAAGACTAAATTTATCACAATTTTTTTATTTAATATATATTTTTTGTTTGATTAAAAATATGAAAAGAAAAATATATATGAAACAAAGGAGATTAAAGATTAAATAAATATAAACAAATTAAATTTTAATTGCACTTGTTACATTAAAAATCACTTGTCATTGTCAAGTTAGGATCCAGAATTGTTAATACTGCGCCAATCATATGTAAAGAACCCGTTACGAGTATTTCTATTTTATTGTTCCTGGTCATTTTCAACGATGCATACTTTTTAATGTCCAAAAGTACTTCAGTGACATCATTCTTCAGCATCGAATTTTCGCCCCATAATTCACAGTGTTCCTCACATTTGTTTCTTTGCTCATCCATCACATCTTGCGCATAATTTGAATTCATATCCTCTGTACTAGGTACTCCAACACAATTTGGAGAGAAATAAGCTTTGTCGAAATCCAGAGATTTCAGCAACTTTAATAATTGTACAGAATTCCGATTACCGCTAGTGTTGAATATTAGGAATTTAATAGAGGTTTCTTGACTGCTTCTCTTGAACCATGATATGCAATTAACAATACTTTCGACGGTATGTGCGCCGTCTAAGAAAAAATCTGCTATACTAGTCCTTAGAATTTGCGTGCGACCTGGCCATTTGCAACTTGCCAATGCCGCTGCGATCTTGTTTAAATAAACGGTTTGAGATAAATCAACCTTATCATTTTTATGATCATCGCGAAAGCCATTGACGTATTTCGTATCGTTTACGATCAACGGTGATTTATCGCATCGCAATTTCATCCATTCGAGTGCCATGCTGATCGACAGTGAAGCATTCTGTTGCTGTACGTTGTTGAGTTTCACCAACGAGAAGACATCATTCCACTCGTGTTGAGTTGCAAGAATCACTTGCAAGCTGCGGCATCGTCTTTCCGCGGCTCGTTTCCGTAGAACGCGCATCGCCAATTCCGGTTGCGGCACCGTGAAGGCCGCAGCATGCGGTTTAAAGATCCCCGATTTCTGATAAGCGATCTGTTCCAGGGTATTGCCCAGCAGCAAAGTGTGCTCGAGACCTAGGCTAGTTATACCTACGCAGACCGGATTTCGCACGACATTGGTACTATCCAATTCACCACCGATTCCAACTTCAAGGATCGCTACATCAACATTCGCTTCCAGAAACACGTGAAACGAGAGGATTGTCAAGAATCTGAAATACGTCGGCATATCGGATTCGTATTCTCGTTTTTGCTCCAAGCATCGATAAAGGTTCCAAAAAAATTGGGCAAAGTGTGATTGACTGATCGGCTCGCCATTTAATCGGATACGCTCCCTTACAGAAACTAGATGTGGTGAACTGAAGAAACCCGTGCTGAAGCCGTACTGCCGTATAATTGCTTCTGTAAACGCGCACGTCGTGCCCTTACCCTTTGTACCAGCCACATGTATCACAGATAAGCTGTCCAGTTGCTCCAAAGTAATACCAGATCTATGATGTAATACAGAGTTGAAGATACTGTTTAAAGTTACATATCTCATAAATTAAATTTAAAGTATGTATGTACTTAATAATAAATTTTAAGCAGTGTTTCTTTCAATCTTTCAGAGTTATTTACATTGTATTTTATCGTAGAATGAAAGATACTGTGTTTGAAGTTACACACCATAAATCAAATTTAAAGTACATGCATACTTAATGTAATGTTTCTTAGATAAGAAAAATAAATTTCTTAATTATAATATTAACATTGTATCATTAATTGTTTTGTTACCGGAGTAAATATTTCTCTGTTTCTTTCAATTTCTCAGGGTTATTCACATTGTGCTTTATAACATTTTGTAAGTCCGCAGCATTGCTTTGTAAAGTATATAACACTTTTATCGCTTCCTGTAAATACAATATACAATATTTATATATATCTAAATTTAATTTTTTATATCAATTATATAATTTAATTGTGCTATCCTTAAATATTACATGTATCATTTTGTATATAATAATATTTCTATAATTATATAAACAATATAAACACACTCTTAAAAGGAAATTATAGTGTTAAAATTTATATAAATAGAAAAGCAATGAATTTATATGTATTTATACTTAGATATCAAATAATATCTTAATAATTCTGCTAAAAATTGAGAGTAAATTTAGCTGTTCTTTTTTTCATAAATAACAAAAATATTCAAAAATTTTTTTAATTGTAAATACAACAGGTATGAACAATTTTTTAATTTTTAAAATAAATAATTATTGCACTTACTTCGTAAGATCTACCAGTATGAATAGGACGAACCAAAAGTCCATTGTGCGTCATTTTCCTCAACAGAATAAACATTGGAATGCGATAATTCCAGTATCATGAAAGAAGCGATAAGAAAGGAATTTTTTTACTTGTTTATCGTTCTCCGTATCAAAGAGCAAGTCACACAATCGCCAACAATTGCGTAACCGTGTATTACAAAATTTCGGAGACGATCTTCGAATATTTTACGTTCGAACAATATATACTTCAAGTGTCACCTGTCAAAGTAATACTTAATTAAGTCGACAACATTTGATTAACTTAAATAGAATTTTGCGATGAAATTTCTCAAATAATTCCACATAAAAACACACGAAGGGAATTAATTTGTTTATATTACACAGAAAAACTTGTAGATTTATCACTTCGTGCTATTAACCTTCTTTGCGCTTGTTTTTCATTCAATAACATTCCATTCATTCATTCAACATTTTCGAGTCTGTAAAAGTTGAAATATGAAAAATTTATAAAAGGTTATAACATGGAACAAGTTATACGAGTTATAGTTGTCGATATACAAATTAAATATGTTTCTAGCAATGAGATTAATTGTTAATTTAATTTTAATACGCGCGTACGATAAGAATTATTTTTTCCCGCCATAAATACATATGTTTATTTTGATTCCGGTCTCGTGAGAGCTATTATAAGATCCCAATAAGATACCAATTATGACAACTTTCGTCAAACGTATTGGCTGCTATTGCAAGAAACTTTCAAAACCCTAGAAATTCTCTATCTGACAGCCAATCGGTATGTCAACATCGGTTTGGAGTTCGTACATATGTGCTCTTTGAATGAATGAGGATATACAAAGTAGAGATCCAGCCTAAAATTGGTCGTGTGCACCGATTTTCACAAGTTTCAGAGTAATTATTTTTAAATATGTAAATCATTAATTCTTACATTTTCTTCTACATACTTTTTTATAAATTTTAATATTAATTTATAGTTAGAAAAGTTAAAAATACAAATATTCATACATACATATCTATTTAGTATAATTTTTTATTACATCTACTTTCTTTTTACTTTAATTTTTTCTTTTTAACGATTAAATTTTCTACATTTCTTCCTTTTATTTTCTTTTTTTCGAATTTTTAAATATATATCATTTTTATTTTGCTTTATTTTAGCTAAAAAGAACAAATCTTTTATAAATACACAAGCAACATTAAGTACTTATTTTTCCAAGAATTGTGATATTAAGGTGTGTTGCTTCCCTCCATTTATTTTTTGAATATAAGTTATGAATTAATATTAATGACAAATCTTCTAAATTTATTAATTAAATCTATAATTCTCTAATTTTGCTACTATTATTTTTTTCAAGATTTTTATCTCAAAGATACTTAAAATGTCTCATGTGATCGCAAGTGATCGTATACGACAGGAGAACGAAATGACTGTCCTATCCAGTATTTACAATAAAAAAGAATTCTCTTGTATAAGAAGTGAGAAGATAAAATGCACTGTTAATATATTTCCTAAATTTCATAAAAAGCTAGAAGTGAACTTTACTAACTACTGTTCTTCTAATATAATCTTCAAGGAGATTGTTCCACGTGATACAATTTTTATTGAGTACCTGCCACCAATCGGATTGCACACTCAACTTCCAGATACGTATCCATCTCAAAAGCCACCAAAGTTTTGTGTATCTGTTACCTGGCTGACTCCTTGGGAGATATCTTTCATCTGTCAGAAATTGGATGAAATATGGGAAGAGAATCAAGGCAATGAGATCTTGTTCCTATGGCTAGATTTTCTACAAAATGATCTTTTTAATTTTCTCAACATACAAGATTCTTTAGATGTTTCCTTCATGCACATAATTCGCACAACACCAGGTGATCGTATTACATTCCGTTTAGCACACTTATCTGATCCCAGAGCTGTAAATGGTGCTTTGTCTTTAGACCTTAAAAAATTGTTAATATCTTATGACAGACAGCAGCATAGGAAACAATTTGATAACAACTTCTACACTTGTCAGATATGCTTCCAGGAATACAAGGGAGTACATTGTATAGAACTGAGAAACTGTGGACACGTTTACTGCAAAAGTTGTATGAAGGAACACATACGTATTAAGATTAACGAGCGCATTAAGATTATACCGTGTCCAACGTTGAACTGCAGTTTCGAAATAAACGATAACGATATTAAAACTCTCTGTCCGAACTTGTTTTCGCGGTATGAAGAACTCGTGTTGCGAATAACATTAGACACTATGAATGATATAATATATTGCCCGAGAATTTCATGTCAAAATCCAATAATTAAGGATCCAAATGATGCTGCACCAATTTGTCCTATTTGTAATTATTGCTTTTGCGTATATTGTTATAAGGTAACGGAAGATGTACTTCATTATATATTAAATAAAGATTAGCTAAATAATATAATAATTATTACATAAATAGTCGTTCCATGGAGCTGCACCATGCAACATAGCATCAGATGATGTTAAGAAGCTCATTAACAATTATAAGGATAGTGATGATAAAAAAATAAAGTTTTTGGAAAAGAAGTATGGCAGGCGACAAATACGATTAGTTGAAGAAACTCTTACAAGTGAATATCTGCAGGTATGTATAATAAAATATAAAGATTTAATATAGAAATTAATAATAATAAAAAATTATTAATTATTAAAATTAATTAATATGATTAATAAAATAATTAATATGATTAATAAAATAATTAATATAATTAATAAAATAATTAATTTATTAATAATTAGAATAATAGGAAGATTTTAAGAGCATTAGTTTTAAGGACAATTATAATTTCTAGGATAATGCGAAAAATTGTCCCAAGTGCCATTCTTTTATTAGCAAAATTGATGGGTGCAACAAGATGATTTGTAAACATTGTCAATCTTGTTTTTGTTGGCTGTGTGGTCAGCAGATTACTTTAATAGACAGATATGCACATTTCACTACTACTAACAGTCCCTGTTTCGGACGTTTGTTCGAGAAGGTAGAGAATAATAATTATGATGATTTCGACATAATGGAGAACATAATTTGGTTTGAATAAATTTCAATGAGATATATATCAAATAAAAAAACAAATGAGAATCCTAATGTAATTAGAAACTTTCATAATTATTTGGTTGCTTTGTTACTTACAATAATGCATTATGAGAAAAAAATAATACGACATTATTCATATTGTTAATCGTACATTAATTATCATAATTTGTGTTATTTTTCACAGATTTTTTTCTATTCATTAAATATTTATTAATTTTTCTCAAAAAAAGAACTGTTAATTATAAAGAAAGTAATTAAATACTGAAACAAATATTTTATACATTATGATTTGTATTTATATGTGAATATAAATAAATGTGTACATTTATCCTATATCTAAAAATATATATATTTTCGTATTTACCATATAAAAATCTAATAAGGATATCATAGTCGTACAATATTGTATGAATTGTGAATAAATAGCACATTGATAAATTTTTTGTGTATTGCATATTTTTTACTTTGTAATTTATAAGAAATCATCAATATAAAAATATGCTGTGTATATATATATATATATATAAAAATTTGTAATATATAATGAATAACAATAACTATTTTAAATAATATCAGACTTTCCGTTACGAAGTTTAATATCAAAACTCACGTGTCTCTCGATACATGGACTTCGATATTTGCTTCAGTAACTAATTGTTCTGCAACAATAGAGACTGCAGATTCGCGTCTCTGTTGATTTATAAAAATTTCTGAAAGCGATAGAATACCTCAAAATACTCGTTTATAGATTTAATATAAATGTATTTAATATAATTGCATTTTACCTTTACAATCCCTATCACATTTCACAAGTGCTTGTTTGCGATAAAACCGTTGCATATTTAATTGTATAAGTGTAGGACCAAATATCCAGTATCCTAAGGCTCCCCCAATTATAAGAGCAATTGTGAAATAAGCATTGTATGTCATAACTACCATCATCAATATATATCCGAGTGTAGTGTGAAGAAACCAGTGCAGTATTTGCACTGTCCATTTAGAGCAGGTTGCACTAAAAATATATATTTAATGTTAATTCAAAATAAAAAAAGGACTATTATGTAGCTATTTATGGGGAAAAAAGATATTTAAAAATAGAGAATAAAATTATGAAGGTAAAGTTAATATATGTATCTATATATGTTAATAATATGAATAATTTTGTAAGTGTTAACAACAGTACTGCTGTTATATTTTACTCATGTAAAATATACAAGTTTATAAAGTAATTAATTCTTATATATATATTTTATATATATATATATATATATATATATACAAGTAATTATGTATATATATACTGTAAATAGTTATTCTATTTGCTCCAGAGAGAAAAATAAGAAATAATATGTACCATCTTGTATAAGATCTAAAATTCTTTGGTGTTACTTTGGATAAAAGAGAGGAACTTTCAGAGGAAGTTGAGGCTGTTCTAGATACAGATTTTATTCTGATCTGTTGCAAATGGATCTGAAAGATCTTCATAGCCTCGTAGAATACTGCAAGTGCAGCCAGACCCAAGCAAGTTGCCACTAAACCCCATATCGTAGTGATGTTGTATCCTGGGAACAGGAAGTTATCCAGATTCACACCAAACCAATACCACTTATGCATCTGCAATGATGTATATAAGAAAACAAATGTTTTTATAAAGGATACATTATAACTACAAATAGTATATAAGGAAACAGCTGACCTTAATTGCTTTAGATCTCCTTCGCACGTCCACGATTCATGACAGTCACTTATGACTGATAAGCCGCGCGTATATAAATGGCTAGATATCGACCATCTATCCTTATCCCAAGCTTCATTAGCTTAATTAAAAATTACGATAACGTCTAAAAATACGCAAATTGCATGTACAGTTCTTTCTCGTCACCCTTATTAGGTTACATAATATTAAATGTGATTTTTCTTTTAGGTTCAAGCATTAGGACATCGATATACTTTCGCTTTCAAAAAATTAATTGTTTATTCTCATATATATGTCTCTCATGTTGAGTACATACAAGATAAGTACGATTGATTGGTGCTTTTAATAATCATAAAAGGTCTGTTCTTTTTAGCTGAATTAGCTGCACTAGTTATATTATATATACATTAAATTGCGACCGAATTTGATTGGCGTAGATTCTGTACATTCAATAAATCGCAAAATTCAAAAAGTGACAAGACGCGAATGTCCTAAAGAGTTTAAAAAATTATATACAATCAGTTTTCTTTGCAAAACTTATTCTTACAATAATAATCAATGTCTCCTCAATAAAACCGATCCTTTTTTATGATACAAATCAGCTGATCATTGGACATAATTGACAGTAAATAGATAACATAACCTATCAACGAGATGGTAGGTGAATGGTGAATGAACAGATGATTGCGGCTGCGGTGAGAAAAACCTTCTGGATGCTTTGAAGCGTTTGCTCGACCAATCAGAACAAGAGGAGTAAAGATTTTTTAAAATCTGATTGGTCAATCAAATGCTTCAAAGCATTCAGAGCGTTTTCCCGACCGTAGCCTGCGCGTGCTCGAATCTTGAATGCTCGAAAGTGTCAAACAATTCGTAACAGCTGATGGCCGGAATGTTATGATCTTAATTAAAGCAGGATCAACATTGACCAGAAAAAATCAAAAAAGAGGAAGAAGATCTCTTATTATACACGAAAAACTTTGCCATATGAAGTAGTTACATATTTTGATGCAGGAAGTTTTTTTATTTCATAGAGTTCTCTCAAATCTTCTGACGTGATAAAAATGGGTTCAATGAATTTTGCTCTCTTTCTTTATATTTTATTCATCGCAAGAACAAACGCAGATGTAATAGGTATATACTTGTAAGATATATTTTTTACCATTTTTTTTTTAAATCGCAACGTTAACTTTAAATATGTATTTTATATAATTCAGAATGTTCATAAAATCCCAAGTTAATTGAATCAAGTGTTACAAATTGTTTGAGGAGACTTGAAAATAAGTTTCCTATGTATCAAAGAGATGTATATTTTAATACTATTATTGTGTCTTATTCTCTGAATATTTAATTATTTTTTTTATTAAAATTAACTATATATGAAAAGAAGTCTTAGGCCAAGTTGCACCAACATTATAATATTTTAATTTTAAGCGAAACTTAAATATATGTCTGTCTTTATTTATTTAGAAAGAAAGATAAACTTAAATATATGTCTGTCTTTATTTATTTAGAAAGAAAGATAAAGATAGACATATATTTAAGTCTCGCTTAAAGCTAAAATAATGTTGGAGCAACTGGGCCTTATAGTTAAATTATTTTTAGAACCCTATGATGTAGTGATAGTAATATTGAGTCAAAAGGAACATTATCATACAGATCTTGCTGTTTATTTACGAGACCGCATCTATGATCAAGCTGATGCTCTTAGAAAAGTATGTTACGTAATATCAAAATCATTTTTTTATATTTCATTATGATATCAATATATTATATCTAACTTATATACATTGTCATATATTTTCTATATTTTAGGAATCACCAAGAATTGTATTATCTCATCAGCTTAACATCAAAGGTTCTTGGACAATAACTCCATTATTGCCTTATTTGTCAAATAATTTTCCAACTGCAAAATGGTTTTTCTTTTGTATGGAAAATATAGTGATTCGATTAAAAAAGTTGTTAGATGTGTTTGAAAAATTCAATGCATCTGAGGTAAGTTTTATTTTTATTGTACTTTTATTGTATTTTCAAAAAGATATAAAATATATACAATAGATAATTTATTTACACAGAATATATGGATTGGAAATGCACTTTTTGATCAGCATCCTACTATTATTCATCACTTTGCAAGGAGTAAGATATATAGATATCCACATATTGTAACTGGATTTGGTATGACTTCTAAGTTGTTAAAGAGGTATATTTTCTCCATTTTTATGTTAACTAATTATGATTTAGATAGCAATTTATGATAATAATATATGAAAATAATATAAAAGTGACTTAATAAATTTAAAATAATAGAAGAAAGGCTATTTTTTAAATATATTTAGATATTTCTATATATTTTATAAAATTGGTTCTAGTATATAATTTTGCACACAAACGTATGCATTAATTCCAATTTGTTTTATAATACATATATTTACTTGTACATATATATACTTGTTTTATAATACATATATTTTATGTTAATTAGAAGGAAGAATTCTTAATATTTTAGTTTATCTCAACAAATCTCTGATAGTAAAGGACCAAAGATGGATTTTTCTATTGACGCACCATATGAATTCGCAAGATTCGTTTTAAAGAGTACAAATGTGGAATTGACACATGTGTCTGAAATATGCATTGCATCTGTCTCTCATTGTGCAACTTATCCCCGATTCTTTGATTCTTGTGTACGTTGAACAATATGTGATTTCCTAATTAACAATAATAAAAATCAATAATAATTTTAATAAATTAGCAAAGGGTAATGAATGCCATCATTGAAATATATATGTAAATTATAAATATTTCCCAATATTTGCAGAATTCTTTTATATCTTCAAGAAATGTATATTTTGCTGTTAAGACATGCGCCAAACATCATGTAGATAGAATTCCAGTGATTAAAAATTCATGGGCCAAGTACAAAATACATATTGGATATTTCAGTGATGCAGCCGGTATGCTTGAAATTGCGTATATTCCAATATTTATATATTTATATATATATATATATATATATATATATATATATATCTCACAAGTTGCTCAATTGTTCTAGCGTAGATAAAAATTTACGGGAGGCATATATTGTACCAAATACTACTGAAGGACATTGCGCCAAAACTTATGATATTTTGCAGAGAGCGAACATTATAATGAAAAAATTTAAACATGATTGGCTTGTTATCAGTGATGATGATACTCTATTCAAGTGAGTATACAGGCAGAAAAAGAGCTTATTTTCAGAGTTGGAAACTATAGGTCATAAAACTATGAAAAATTTTTAATCCTTAATTTAAAAACACATAATATATATAAGGCTAGAATTAGAAATATATTCTTCAATCAATTTATTATATAAACATTCTCGCAAATAATTATAATAATGATGTATTTTGATATATTACAGCATAGCACGTTTATTACATTTACTCACATGCTACAATCCCAAACGCTTAATTGCTATCGGCGAACGTTATGGCTTTCGTATGTGGGATCGTCATTACGGATATGAGTACTTAACTGGCGGTGCGGGAATTGTGTTATCAGCTCCTTTGGTTCGCGAAATGTTAAGATCGGACGTATGTAATTGCCCATCTGCCACTACTCCTGATGATATGTATCTTTTTGGCCTCTGTTTATCTCGACTTGGAGTGCAGCCTGTACATTCTTTAATGTTTCACCAGGTATACTTTGCAATATAATTTCTAATTGATATCTTTTCTAATTTATATTGTCCGTTATAAATGATCCGTTATAAATGATATAAATATAGCAACGTTTACAATTAAACTTGCAGATAATATATATTAAATACTAAGCTCAAAATATACAATTTAGGAAGATATTTTATATATATAATACAAAATGATATATTTTTCTTTAGGCACGACCCGTGGATTATCCTGTCGCTTATCTGGTATCTCAGAAGCCTATATCGTTCCACAAATTCTGGATGGTTGATCCTCTTAAAGATATATATGATAAATGGCTTGCACCAAAACATAAAATCGTATCAAATCGTATAAAACCAACATATCTAGCAAAACATACGGAATTATAACGTAAAACATTTGTATAAAAGTAAAGTAAGTATTCAATAAATATTTTGTTTTTATTTTTATACTTTTAATGCGTTCATATATGTAAAAAAAAATCATTTCTTGCATTTGCTTTCATTGAAAAAGTTTGAGAAAAGAAAGATAAAAAAAAAGATAAATTTTAATTAAACATTTTTTATAATTGTATATAATGTATATATAATAAAATATATTACTAAATAATTTTACATATCAGAATAAAAATATGAGTAAAAAGATAAAAGAATTTTATAATATGTATGTGTAAAAATACATATTTCTTTTATTCATATATTAGAAGTCTAATAAAAATTAATATTGAAGCAATTAAAATATACAATACATTGAAATATATAATACATTAAAATATATAATAAATATAATAAATTATTCCTACATTCTCTCTTTCATGTACAGAATGTCTCAAATTCACAAATCAAAATATTGGAACAGAAAAATTTAGCAATTCTTTTATCACAAGCAATAGTTTTTGAGATATAAGTATTTAAAGCTCTAGTACATCACAGGATATTTTTACGCAATCATCTATTTCTGATATGTAACGTATAACATTAAATCAGCATACATAAATAGGTGAAATATAGCTAGTAATTTAGGAAGATAACATACATACATACATATACATACACACACACACACACACACACACACACACACACACACACACATATATATATTTAATACAAAACTGTAGATCTCCAATATATATGTAATTCTGCAAATAGAGTAATGTATATCATATATTTCGAATTTTTATTCATTTTAAAGTATCTTTGGATGGTAATTAGATAATTATTAATTATACAATTAGTTATAATTACATTTTTATTATTGATAAGAAGTACTTTTAGTTAAGTATTGCAATATCTTCGAATTTTATTTATTTTTCAAGTTTATTGGTCCTAAAAATGATATTTTTTATTTCAAAAAATTTATGATAAAGGTATTTTTTACTTCATAGAATTTTAAAAATACTTCTATTTATGGCATAGAAAGTCGGAATAATTTTCAGATATTTTGTATAATCATATTTATAATTTATTTACTTATAATTTTATTGTATAATCATATTTATAATTTATTTACTTATAAATAAAAATGCTATTTAGATTATATTTTAGATCGTATTTCTTTCCACCACGATGGACGTTCCAAGTTTTTATCTTTAAATAGCCACTCCTTTATGTGTTTGTATACCTATATAAAAATCTTCAGTTTATTATATATTAGAAAAACAAATTATTATACTCTCAAAAGTGATTTGATATAAAATATTTAATATAATATGATAATAATGCGGTATTTTACCTCGCCATCAGACATTCCTAGAGGAGAGTTAAGAATAAAGTCTGGCGGTGCCAGGACGTCAACCAGTGCAACTGCATTATCTAATAAATCTCTACACAATGTTATAATTCCTTCCCGCAGAAAATTATTTATATTACTAGCAGTAGAAGCGTAACCACTTCCATATAAATCTCCCAATCTCTTTTCCAATGTTACAGCTCCGAACAGAGAACATAATTTGGTCAATACTTCTCGTTCATTTACTTTCCATTTCGGATCTTGCAAACATCTGATAAAATACAGTATTAGAGCATGCTGTAAAAAGGGAGACAAAAATTACATCACAATTTGCATCCTACGATAATGCTGTAAATTAATTGTAGAGCATATTTATATAAAAAAAAAATATTTGCATTTTCTGTTAATAATTGAGTTTAGCAAACTGTTTAAAATGTCGTTTTTTCTGCTAATTGAATATACATATATAATTATATTCATTTACTTCTCCATATACGAGAGACAGAGTTCGCGCCAAAAACAGTTGAGAATTGTTTTTTATGTCAAAATCAGACATTCCGTTTGATTTGAAATCCTTTATATGTTGATATGTTTTCTTCAAGTAATAGCATATCAGCCACTTAAAAGTAAAGAGCAAATCTAAAACAGAAATATATTATAATTGCAGAAGGCATAAGACGTTCATTGGATTAATAATTTTTAACAATATATTTTACTATAACATAAAATTAATTTTATCATACTTTCAGGTTTCATTGTATTTTCCACCGTAGAATGATTAAATTTAGTATTTAATATTTGTTCTGCGTCAACAAGGAAATCCGCGGAACCAAGCGGAGATGGTATAGGTCGTCCATTAATTACATTAGTCCATTGGCTTAACAACCAATTACTCGCTTGTTGGATAAGTACATTGTTTTCACCCTCGTACGTGCAGTTTGCATCGTTTTCAGCTCTTATATCACCCAAACGTGACACTAATAATAAGACAACAAAATGATTAGTATTTTTAAAATACATACACTCAAATATGGTGGATTAACAAGTAAGATTTTCCATTTTATTATGATTTTTATTTATCATTTACGCACAAATTAGATATTATTGTGTTAAAATATAAGCTAATGACTATTTTTCAATATAATTTTCGAGAAAATTGATCTTACTTTCTGATTCATTCTAGTATCATTTTGTGCGAAATCTCGTACTTACTTTTCAAATATCCATAACCACCACAAGACTCTCTACAGTCCTGAATCGCATCACGAGCGATCCACGAGCATAAGGGTTTTGTTGCAGAAGACAGTACGTGAATCTCTATTCCTAAATCGGCATTCAAGTTTTTTCCCGTAAAACGGCTAATAAGGAAGTCGATCATTATTTTATAAAATTCATCAGAAAATATTCTTATTGCGTATGTTGCCGCTAAATGTGGAATGATTCGCCATTGCTAAAACGTATGTGCTTCGCGTAAATCATAATTGTGTCTTATGAATTAAATTTGACATAAAAAAAATCTCGCTAATATATACTTGCGTTTGATATTCTATAATCGGCAGCTCATCATCGTCCGTAGGACCAAATTGTTTTCTAACTGCAGAATAGCGTACGGCTATCGTTACCGCGATTATCATATAATGCACACCTATCAAGGAAATACTGGTGCGGCCTGATGATAGTGTGCCCAATGACAGTCCTAATACATACAAGTAGAAAGTGAAAATGGAATTGATTGTGAAAAAAATTACATAGTGATGTTATAGCTCTTGGCATATTAAATACCTACCATATCTTTTTCGTCTATCTTTTACAACGAGCACGTACTTTCCATCCTCGCTGACATCAGCTGTGCGATTTAACAAGCAGGTACGCGGTATAAAATATTTGTCAAACATTAGGAATCCATTGTCTATTCCATTAAGTCCTATCTTTTCACCCATATCACCAACAGTGACACCGGGAAAAGGTAGATGAGTTTGAGGGTCACGAATTGGTACGATGAAAAGATGTAGTCCATGATTTACTCCATCTGATGTAATTAGCTGAGCAAATACAATGGCGTGCGTAGCACATTTTCCTGTATTCATAAAATATACAAAAAGTGAAGTAACATGAAGTATTATCACTTTGATTATTAATTCATTATTGAAAGTTAAAACTCACCTAAACCGCCTGACCAACATTTTGTGGCTTCAAAGTCGGGTGTATGAAGAATAAAACTTCTTGTCGCTATATCATACGTTGCTGTGGTTCGCATGCCTTTTGCATTAGAGCCATGGGAAACTTCAGTTAGAGCAAAACAGCAAATATACTAAGCAATTAATATATCAGTGAATATTATACAATAAATAATTACTATATATGATGCTGTATAATAAATGATTATGTATCTTTGTGTTTTATTCATACGTACATTTCCATTATTTAATTCTTTAATAAAATGATGATGTTGTTCAGTGCCTAACATTAATATAGTAGATGGAACCAAGCCATGCATAAGAGATAATTTTACTGACACAGATCCATCATATTGGAAAACATAAAAGAATTTTTCTTGAATATGTATTGGCTAAAAAGATTAAACAAAAACAGAGCTTGAGTATGATAGCAACAGTTTTTCGTTTAAAAATAAAATTAAAATTTTTATATTAATATTAAAAATTGATAAGGAATGTAATTGTGATGACTTTGCATAGTCTATTATTGTAATTAAATAATTATTAGTTATATAATTAGTTATAATTACATTTATGTTTTTGTCACGAAATACTTTTAGTTGAGCATTGCAACGTCTTTGATCTTCATCCAAACTTATTGACTCTGTCGGCCTTTGAAATGCTGGATTGGTTCTGACAATTTCCCATAATTTTGCCTAAATATTTTAATTAGAATATAATTATATATAATTATTAATATAATTATTAATTAGAATATAATTATATACGAGCTACATAGTTGTAAATATGTAACGCATATATTAAAATTTATCATTTTCAATACCTGAAATAGCACGTTATCTTCGCCTTCTAAAGTTAATTTAAACGACTTCCAATCAAATGTCGCTCGCTTTCTATAGGCATTTAATGGACCTTTGGGCAAGTCTTTTATTAAATTACTAGCAGTGAGCATTGCGTATTTTCTTCTTTGAATTTATAACTATAAAATACTGCAAATTTGCAAATAAATATAAGAAAATCTTATTAATATTAATAGATCTATAAAAATATATGCTTCTTATTATAATAAAATATTTATCATTATTAATAAGATATTTATATATTAAAGATATTTATAAATTAAAGTGTTTGTATGTGTAAAAACTTTTTACTACATAAATTTCGTAAAACAAATAAATAACTATTATTATTTTTAACCCTTAATTTTATAACTTTCTAAAGAATTCTAAAAGAAAATACACGTATAATTGATTTATATATTTTCTCTAATAATATTACTTTTATTATATTCGTATATAAATTTCTTTTCACTTATTATTATTGACTTCTATTTATTCATTTTTATTTTTATATTAGTTTTATTCAAAAAATAATTTACGTAGATGTTAAATAATATAACGTAAACAGTTTTTACAAATTTTATATATCATAAAGATAAAGGTAAAGATTAACTATCAAAAGTTATTTTTAAGTTATTAATGTTCAGTTTTAAAAGTTGTTATATACTTTTATCACATTGCACTTACACTTAAAGGCGGACGTATTAACAAAATAGTTTTTTAATACTAAAAGCAATAGTATTTAGACTTCTTCCTACTCTTTTATTAGTGCTATATTTTAATGGCTTGATATATGATATCACGCACACGAGTCTTAACCTATTGCATATCTTGATTTTGCCAATATATTGAATATCGTTTAAATATATTATGTACTTTTTAATTAGTTCAATGTAACGTTTATCAGTTAAAATAGAACACAGGCGAAACCTAAGTTTATCGTTTCCACGCATATCTCGTATTCTCGTGACACAATTCAGTTTCGCGAATAGATAGGCAATAAAGAAAAAAAAATACATATACAGGGTGAGACAATAACTCTGTTCACCTCGAATATCTCCGCTACTTTTAGAGATATGAAAAAAATTGTAATTACCAAAGTTGTACTATATTAAAGGGATTATAATGTGGTAAAAATATTTTTTTAAAAAGTGGAGGTGCCTCAGAGATTTCAAGGTCACCTTTATTTTTTTTAATGGCATGCTATACTTTTTTATCCTTAGTTCGATAGCGTACTTTGAGATAATTTCAACGACCTATAATTAAAAGTCATTCGGATATGATATTCGGACCACGCCGGAAAATGTAAAGCAACGAATTATTGCAGCATGTGCGAAAATCAGTCCGGAAGTATTAAGAAGTGTACGTGTTTCAGGAATTGAACGATTGCAGCACTGCATCGATGTAAATGGACGTCACTTCGAGCATTTCTTATGAGGTAACAATCATATTATTTTACTCCATTATTTATCCAAACTCATCCGAATACCGTTCGAATGACTTTTAATTATAGGTTGTTGAAATCGTCTCAAAGTACGCTATCAAACTAAGCATAAAAAAGCATAACCATTAAAAAAATAAAGGTGACCTTGAAATCTCCGAGGTGCCTCCACTTTTTGAAAAAATAGTTTTATCCTTATATCATTATGGCTTTTTTGATATAATGCAACTTTGATAATAACAATTTTTTTCATATCTTTAAAAGTAGCAGAGATATTCGAGGTGAACAGAGTTATTGCCTCATCCTGTATATGTACACAGATGATATTTAATAAATTTTAAAAATTGAGAGAAAATGAACCACAACAGTCCATTCAGAGTACAACTTTGGTAATTACAATTGCCATTTTTTCTTATTGTTTTTTATCGATTTAGTCATGCAAATGTTACACTTATATAATTAACGTGCTATTTCCATATATGTATAGCAAGAAATGATATTACAATATTGTTTGTTATTCAAGAACGTTTCTGATTATAATAATTCTCAGTCACATTATTTTGAATTCTCTTATAAAAAGAAAATGGATTTATTTATCTTTTTCAAAATTCGTTTTTGTAAAGCTTTCTGACAACTTCTTCAGAATAAAATATTAGATATCAATTAGATATTTTGATGAAACTAAGATAGATCTATTCACTTGAAAATTAAATAGGATGAGTTAAATTCATTTCTTTATAAAGTCGAGTCAAAAATATGTACATATAAGTCATATACATATATAAGACTTAGTATTATTGTATTACTGTTGGATCATAAAATTAAATAAAAAAAATCAAATCGAGTAGATAAAACATAAAGAGCGGAAAAAAAATTTCTTACAAAATTCATTAATAAACATCAATGTCGTAAAATATAGATAATAGTGAAAAAAAAGAAAAATCGACTTTTTTTATGGATATTACGCATCTTTTTGTAAATATTTAATGACAAATGCAAAACTCGAAAAAAACAAATCTTAAATTCAGAATGAATAGACTTTAATAATAAATGTAAACATTAACAAATAATAACTTTCTGCTGTTCTTGTGTAAATTATATTATGGTAATGTTATCATTACCATTTGTCGAAAACGTGAGGCATGACTTATGCGTTTATTGCGAGGTAATGGCTTTAATGTCGTCTATAAAATAAATAAGAAACTAAATACTTTAATAAAACGCGTATTAAATGAAAAGGACTACAATCATATGGTCGGAACGTCGTAATCAATAAACAAAAAATTTCTGGCTAGTTTTGGTCGATTATATTATTTCCAATGATCCTTTGATTAGCTGGCGATATTAAAATAATTTATGTTATTTAAATTATATTAATTATTTTTTATAGATATGATAATTTTATAGATATTATAAGAAAATAAAAAAGGAAAGACGAGAAGAATGATTACGATAGTCATTTCATAACATATTTAAAAAATTTTAAAGTTTTTAGTCGATAAATAAGACAAAATTGCTTTAACTTGCAATAATTTAGCCGACTATTTTTTAGAAATCCGTGAAAAATGCAAATCTCAGAATTGATGATATTTTTCAAGTTTGTGAATTTATATGAATTTTTTGTGAATGAAAGAACTGAACGAAAACATGATTTTAGAATAAATACTACAAGTAATATTTTTACACAACTAGGAATATCAATATTATATGAAAATACTTTGCAGTAATTAACGCTCATGATTGCAAGCAAATTTGATTTTAAAAGTAACTTATTAATTACTATTTCAGAAAATTATTTATTTCAAAATGTTGACAGAAAAAAATATATCCAACAATAAACATAATATAATTATATATTCATGAATCTAAATGTTCTCATCAAAACAATATTCTAGTGGATAAAACAATTTATTTAGTAAAATAAGGTATTTTTGTTTCGATTTCCACTAAACCAACCAATCTAATACATTTAAGATAGGTCGAATATATGCAAGATTACCAACAATCATGTTGCATAAATAAACGCAATCGACTACAAATGAGATTATTAACAATTTATATTGCGAGAGAGCGCGCAGACGTAAAAAATTACAAGAGATCGATAGTATGGACGAAAGATCCAAGTATAACTGGGCTAAGTGAAAATAAGTATTTCAACATGCGTTTTGAGATGATGACGGTAGTTGTTATTTTTTTTCCGCAATTTATCCGTGCTATCGTCGGAAGGTAGGAAAAACTTGTGCTTAGGTAAAAGAGTGTACTTTCTGGATGTATATAAAATATATTCGAAAAATTGCGCTTTTTTATTCGATTGTGGATATTTAAAGAAACTGAAAAATAATAGAAGAGAAAATAGCTTGGAATTATCGTTAAGGAAAAATTAATTTCGTTGTTCAAGTAATATTAGAGATAATATAAGCGAATTTTATTTATGTGTTGGCAGAATATTATTTTATATATTCTAGAAATAAATTAATTGGATCATAAAAATGGAGCAAAGATCCTCACTTTTTATGTTCAGTAATATCAGTTAATTTGTATCATAGTGGATATTAATTATTTTTAACTTACCCCGTATTGGTTGTTATAATTAATTATAGTTGACAGATGATTGCTTAATTCTGTGATCAGAGTCTGCGGATTAATAAAGTGTATTCTACATTAAAAATCAATATCTAGAGGTATGTCTGTAAATAAAAAAAATACTTCTATAATATTATATATAGGAACAGTTTTGAACGACTACATCGATGCACGCGTAAGATAGACGATCTGAAATCGGTGATTGAACAAATCGTAGAGGAAATCGCCACGCGTAGCAACTGCATAATCTTTATTACCGATACCACCTATCGCGGATTAATTGATGTCCATTCAATTCTTAAGATGTCTTCTTTTTTAACAAAATATGACGTAAGTACAAAACATTATTTACGAGCGATTATTCCCAAGGAACTTCCCGTGCTAAAAGAGAAGAAAAAACATATTGCATAATCAATTGAATATATTTCCATACATGATAATATTAATCTCGACATCATAAACTGTTTCCTCTTGAATTATATCGAATTTATAATCAAACTCGATGATGAAATTCATAATTTCTTTGTTTATGTCGATCTATTTTCTTTCAGATCGCCATACGCGATAATCAAGATTTTTCACGATCAAGGAAATTAACAAGAATGCTTCAAAGTAGCAAAGCGATAGGTTGTGATGCGTATGTTATACTAATTGCTAATGGATTGCTAACATCGCGATTCTTACAATATGCCGAAAGGTAAATAATTTTAAGGACTTAGTCTACTTTAGGTATGAAATTGAGAATTTTTAGGGAGTTTTATTTTTAAGTATTAGATTGATCTTTTCAGCGTTTTACATGTTTTTATTGCTGTTTAAACAGTTGATATTTTTAAATCTTGAATATTTAGCTTTTTTCTATTTAATACAAGCTTAAAATCAGAAAAATATTAAAAATTAATTTTTTAAGTTCTAATTAGATTCAGTATTCTCAAAAAATCAAATTTAAAAACATTGTTTTTGAAGATGCATTTAAAGTTTTGCAGATTTATTTGAAGACACACTGCGTGATTATTCTTTTCAAAATTTTACAATTCTGTTTTTTAATAAAATTTGTAAGATATATTTTTTAGATATTACAGTATCAGAAAACGTAAGAAAATATTAAGTTTTTCATCCTCTAAAATAGACAAGTAAATTCTGTAATTCGCATTCGATTTTTGCAGAGAACGTCTAATCAACACACGTGGTCGCTTTTTACTTATGCATGATAATCGACTCTTTAGATCTGAATTGCATTATATCTGGAATCGGATCGTTAATGTGGTGTTCGTACGACGATACAACACATACAAGTACCGTTCCGGTGAAAAAATTGCTGCTGAACGAATCGATCTCGACACTGTCTATTATCCATCGCCTACGAGGGATTTCACGGCGATCAAGTACATCGACACATGGCAAGATAACAAATTACGTTATGGTAACGACCATTATGTATCAAAAACTGCGGATTTGCATGGCAATAGTCTACGGTTAGTATGTATAATGTATGTATAACAATAAATTTTTTGTTTCCGAGATGATAATAAAATTCAAGAAAAGACAAGAAGAAGAAAAAGATTGATATGCTTTTTTTGAACAATAAATTTAATACAGACTGTTAAGAATAAAGTTCATGATATATATTTCAATATATTAAAAAGATTTACATATATATAAATCTTTTTAATATACAAGGTGGGACAATAACTATTACCACCTTAAATATCTTCGAATTTATAAAGTGTAGAAGAAAATGTTTGAAATCAAAATTGTACAGTATGAAAGGGGCTATCATATGGGGGGTGATAAGTATGTCCCACTCTATATAGAAATATATATTTTTAAGAGGAAAATATTTATTATAATCGAGTAGAATTTATTAAGTTTTAAAATTTTTTAATTTTGTTGTAAATAGTATAAATAAGAAATGTGTATAAATTGTAATTATTTTAATATGTTTATTTTCGACTAAAACAGAGTTGCAGTTTTTGAACATGTACCGGCTGTAACAGAAGCCTCGCGAAATCATTATCAAAAAAAGACAAGTGCTGACTCTAAGGCTTTGGGTATTGAATTTGAAGTACGTATTAAAATCACAAAAAAAAAAGAAAATCAAACAATACATTAAATAAAAAAGATCAGAAAAATAAACAGTTTTTTAAAAATAAAGATAAATTTAAATAAATGAATTAAAATAATATAATTTAGTCATAAATTTAAATATTTTTATAAAAATTAAAGAGATAATATTGTTATAAAGAAGATAATAAAAATATATTAAAATAAATTAAAAATAAATTAAAAATATATTGAAAATATATTAAAATTAAATAGCCCATATTAATTACATTTGAATTTTAAATCGATTTTAAAGATTTAAATTTTAATTTTCACGAAATTTTAGGAATAACTTGCTTAAATATTTCAAACACCCATAAATAATTACAAAAATATTTCTTCAGTTTTTCTTTTTTTTGCTATGTTACAAAATGAACTTTTCAAAAATTACGATTGAAACGAATAATTTTTGTTTCAGTTAATCCGAATCATAGCACAAGCAATGAACTTTAAAGCAGATTACTATATACCCTTTAATATCGCGGATGACAAGTGGGGCAAGGTAGGAGAAAATGATAGTTATACAGGACTTCTTGGTGAAGCAGTCATCGGGAATGCTGATTTCTTTCTCGGAGATCTACATTATACGATACATAATCTAAATTACTTTGATCTATCCACGCCATACAACACGGAATGTCTCACCTTTTTAACACCGGAATCGCTGACCGATAATTCGTGGAAGTTATTGATATTACCTTTCAGGTATATGGATGCGCACGTCGTACTTGTGAAAAATTATCTTTCGCCAAAAAAAAGAAAACAAACAATTTTTTTTACTATTGGTAAAAAAAATTCTAAAAGGATTAACAACACTAATTAATTAATGAAATAGTGCACCTTTTGTAGACTGAACGCATGGATAGCGCTCCTTTGCACCCTGTTGATAGGCGGCGGAAGTCTTCACGTGTTCGCGTTATTTTATCAGAAATACATAGAGTCGTATTTGAAACGCGATGAAGCGAATGCATATGACAGTATGAAGGGTCTGTATCTGTTCACTGGATTTCAGAACAGCATACTGTATACGTATGGTATGCTTCTCCAAGTCTCCTTGCCGCGCTTGCCGAATACTTGGACTGTGAGAATCTTCATCGGCTGGTGGTGGATTTATAGCATTTTGGTGACAGTTATTTATCGCGCTAGCATGACGGCCACTCTTTCACATCCCGTTGCAAAGTATAGTAGTAGTAGTATAGTAGTAGTAGTAGTAGTAGTAATAATAATAAAAACTGGTAAGGCTAGATCAGGACTCTGATTCATCTGCTTTTACTTAAAGCATTCTAAAAATTCTCTTGTAACCTTTGTAATGCCAAGTATATAGTATATCTGAATAGAAATTCAATCTATTTTGGCCAGTAACTGGCCAGGAATTCTAGCTGCTAGCTAGATTTTGGTCAATTTAACTGGCTAGAAACTGACAGGTTTGGGAGACGCTTGCTTTGCCAATAACTGGACAGTAAAATTAGTCAGTTTTTGAGTAATTTAGGAGCAGTTTCTGAACAACCCAAGAAAAAATGTTTATATCTTATAATTAATTAAATTATATAATTGTGTAGATATAATGTATCATGTATGCATTTTGATTCTAATCTGATCATACATATATAGATAAAATTATTTTTTATTATACATACATATAATTAGATTATGCATTCTTTATAATATATAAAACATTTAAATATTTTTCATATAAAACACTTTACAATCTTATAGTAGCTCTTTATTCTTTAGTTATTGCCAAGAAGGAACTTGATTACAATATTTCTAAACATTTATCCATTTATACCTTTTAAATTTAAATCGCTATTTATTATACATTTTCTGTCTTTCTATCTCTATACTTTTTACATTTTTTTTGCTTTTTTACATATCTATACATGCCTATTTACTTCGATACCAGCATACTCGCTTACATACCTACACGGAGAAAAAAATCTGATTGAATTAATTAGAAATCTGGTAGATTCACCTGTTTGTCTGTTGAATAATGGACGAATTAGAATTCCTTTAGGAATTACTGGTCGAGTATGGTTAATTTCTTCTTGTTAAATTTACCAACTTTTCTTGTTAAATTTATCAACATTTTTTGTTAAATTTACCAACTTTTCTTGTTAAATTTACCAACCTTTCTTGTCAAATTTACCAACTTTTTTTTTAATAATACTAAATTTATTTAGTTAGGTGAATATGATTTTTTAGTAGAAAAAAAATCTATTAAACGTTTAACGTATTAACTAGTTACAAAAAATCGAGTCTTATCATGATAACTAGAAATTCTTGTTTGATTTAACCAGAATGCCTTTAATCATATACGTCTTGTTGGTACAATCAAACGATTTTTCTCAGTGTATACACTATATATACACTCATTCATTCCTTTATAAATTTTTTCTTATCTTATCACACTTTATCTCTTTTTATCATATATTTTCGTTTATTATAACTTATAACTTATTATTTTATTTATATTTGTATTTTATTTCTTTATCTTATTATTTCTTTTACCTAACTTTTACCATCATACTTCCATTTCTTTTCTACCTTATACAGGGTCCCATTTTAATCGATCATCCCGAATAACTTTTTTATTTTTGATTGTAGAAAAAAATGTTTTAGACAAAAGTTGTATGGTTTTAAGGGAGACATAAGATGGTGATAATTATTTGACCTTGGATAGTCTTTTAAAGGTCACGCGAGAGTTACCTTTAATTTTTTAAACGGAATTTCTTATTTTTCATTACACATTTTTATAGCTTATCTCGAGAGCTTTCCAAAACACTAAATTAAATGTTTTTTTGTTAAATACTTTCCGAGTTATGAGGCTTAAAATAATTTCTTATATAATTAATAATTTTACATAAACCGTAAAATTAAGAAATTATTTTAAGCCTCATAACTCGAAAAGAATTTAAGAAACAACATTTAATTATAATGTTTTGAAAAGCTCTTAATCTTAATAATGCTTTTATATTATCACCCATTTCCTCAAGATCTAATATTTTTCTTCTAAGATAACTAGGTCTTTCTATTCTTATTCTTACTTCTTTATATCTTTTATTGTACTTCGCCTCCTTTATCTTATTATCTATCATTTGCTTCTGTATATCTCTTTATCTTTCTCTTATCATATTTTTAATTTCCATCTTTAAACCTCTTTCCCACATATTTTTGATTTTCTCTATACTCTATCTATTTCTATTGAAAAATTTCTTTCTTTCTCTACTATATAATTCTTTGTTTACCATATTTATTTTTTCTATACAACATTTTTTCATTAAATTCTTTTCCTTTTCTTCTCTAATTTTCCAAACTTTCAACTCAATGCTCTAATTCCCCATCTAATTTTTAATTTTTCTAAACCTAAATCTTTCAGAATTACATATTTCAGAGTGCAAAAATCTAATCTAGAAATCCATCTATCATAATCTAGCATTACCTTTCAAGTTCTTTTTTACTATCCCCATATTTCATTTCCCTATTACGCTCTGCACCAAATAATTATATAATATCCATCTTCTACTTTACAATTTTATATGTCTTTTGTATATTCTCATAACTAAAACTTAAATACGAGATAGACGTGTAGCGATATAAAATCATAGCTAGTATTTTCAGAGTTTTCGTTGAACAGAAACTGCTCAGTATTTATTTATTATTTTTTTTTGCCCAGTTACTGACCAAGAATGAATAAGAAAATTATAGCCAGTATTTTCAGAGTTTTCACTGAGCAGAAATTATTCAGTATTTACATATCATTGTTTCTTGCCTAGTTTTAGGACAGTAACTGACTATGAAATAATACTCAGGAGATTTTAGCTAGTTCCTGAAAAATGACTATCTAATTAATCTTAGCCAATAAAAATTAGTTTCTGAATAGTGACAAGTTCTTTTTAGAAATTTTTATACATACATATATATATATATATACAGAATATATGTAATCATACCTATATTATAAAACTATCGGATATTCATCTATAAATTACTTTCTATTTATTGTATTACATAGATTTCTGGCCATGCAAGAGGTTCCTTTTTGTTCTAATTCTATATATTTTTAATGAAGTACCTCTCGCTCCTTTTTGTTCTAAATTCTATATATTTTTAATGAAGTACCTCTCGCATGATTCGATTTAAAAATAAATCTCAATGTTACTTTCTTATATTTAATACTGCTGTATTTAATACTTATTTACCCATTATTACAGAGTAACTATCGATACTTTGGAGCAGCTGACGAGATCATCGCTGGCAGTAGGAGGCTGGAACGACGAAAGCAAGGAGTTTTTTCTTGCTTCTTCTGATCCATATAGTCAGGAGATTGGCAATAAGTTTGAGTTGATCGAAAACGAGAAAGATGCTATCGATGGAGTGGCTAATGGGACGTTCGGTTATTATGAAAATTCGTATTTTTTGCGACACATTCGCGGAAAGCGAATATTCGAAGAAGAGAACGGTCGAAAAAATAAAAGTGAAAAAGATACCGGATCGGCAGTAAAGTACAATCTACACATTATGGAGGAATGCGTCGTCTACATGCCAATCGCGTTAGGGCTGGAAAAAAATTCTCCGTTGAAGTCCTATGTGAATTTATGGGTATTCCATATGATAATATTAAAGATTAATTAATTACGTGGGATATTAACTATTTTTAATAATTTTAAATTATTTTTGAAAAGTGTGTAAGCAATATAAAACTGTAGATATACTAAAAGTGTAGATATACGATGTTCTTATCTTTAGCAACAAATTCGGAAAGAGAGAATGAATAATTTTTATTTAAAATTAAATTAGAACCAAATAAATTTGCCACTTTTATATTTTTATTTTCGAAGTCTGAAAATATATTTGTAACAATGGAGGATTAATTCTCAGTTACATTATATGTATTAATGACCAAATTAAAAAATGTTATATTGCCGATATTGATGATCAAAATTAATAATTTTATATTGTCTTTATATTAACATAAAATCTTCTAATACTACATATTTTAGGTGAGACGGATGACGGAAATTGGTTTAGTGCGCAAGTGGCTGAGCGACGTTATGGAGTGGTCCAAGATCAACGAGTCTCGACAACAATCAAAGTCTGAAACAGCGCTGGTGAATCTGCGCAAATTGTACGGTGCTCTCATTGCCCTGGGCATCGGTTATATTTTCAGCTTCATAGCTTTATTTGGCGAAATAATATATTGGAAATACGTTGTTTTAAGAGATCCAAAATACGATAAATATTATCTAGATATATTCTATAAGAACAACAATACATGTAAAACTTGAACAATTTTTATTTATATTTTGTAGTGTAAAAAAATTATTAATTGAAAAAAGAATATAGAGAAAAGATAAAAGAATAATCTTTAGTAGTACATCTGAGTAGCCCGGATGTGAACCATATCACAGACATGAACTATGTACTACCAGAGAGAAGACTGTAGGTATCAGAAAAGAATTAGCTCCGAAAGTTCATTTTTAAATAAACAATAGCTCAAACGAATGCTTTTTAATTGCTCCGTCAGAATTAACAATTACTCCCTTTTTAAAATTAATATTTTTTAAAATATTTACGAAAAACAAAATTTATAATTTTCACTTAAAAACATATTTCTAATAATTTTCGGCAATTATATCAAGTATAAAATTGCTCCTTAATTGCTCCATAATTGCTTCTTATTGTTCCATCGTTACTTTAATGATTATTGCATTTTTTATCGAAAATTAACGAATTAATCATTTTACAAGTCATACTGAAAGCATAGGACGATGCAAGTTGAACCTCGCCTCGCGTAGAAAGTTGCAAATCTATGTAGAACCATATAATAATTCAAGCCACAACGTCCTATGCTTTCAGTACGAAACAAGATCTATTATTGTAAGATTCCATATAGGTTTGACTAATTCGTCAATTTTCGATAAAAAGATGCAATAATCATTTAAAATAACGATGATTAAGAATAAATAAGGAACAATAAGGAACAATTAAGGAGCAATAAAGGAGCAATTAATAAGCAATTAAGGAGCAATCGTTTTATATTGGATATAATTGTTAATTAACTATAAAAAATATTGATTGAAATTTAAAGAGGGAGCAATTATTGATTCTGACGGAGCAATTAAGGAGCATTCGTTTGAGCTATTGTTTATGAACTTCCAACTCTAACTTATTTTCGGTTTGAGAGGCCCTGTTATGGTCCGCTTTTAGATGATCCCTGAAAGCGATACTCCCTAAAATCTGTGATTCTAAGTATTAAAATAATAATTATTGTCCGGAAAGATCGCAACAATCTAAGTGATGATTTAATATTTTGCATCATCATTTATTCGATTCTCGATTAAATTGTATATTGTTTAATTATAATAATAAGGATTGAGAAAATTTAAAGCATTGGTCGAAATATAGTTAATTCTAGTATTGTTAAAGAAATTTTATAAGAATCAATGATGAATATCATAACATAATTAATTCTTTTATCCTCTTTTACGTACCCCGTGTTTCAATTTTTATTCTCAGTAATGAATGATTGCGATTCGATAAAGATTTATCGTTGCGATACAATTTCATGTCGTTAATTAATTTTTAATTAATTAATTTTTGTTAATATTTATAGCAAATTATGTTTTGATACTAATCGTAATCGTGTTTAGTAAAAAAATTATAGTATACGAAGCGTTTCTTACCACTACTTTATTACTCGAGAGCCACCGTGCGAATGATGACAAAGCGGTAACATATAGCGCGCTACTATTATTATATAAAATATTAAGCATAAAAATATTATGCTGGTAAGAAAATTATAATAAAAGTATATAAATAATGTTGACTATATTAGAATGGAACATATGAATTCTTTATATTTTATATAAAGGAAGAGATATTTAAAATATTTTGCAACTATATTTTTCTAATCTTAATTATAAAAACTTTAGAACAATCAATGATTAATTTGACAAATTTTATATATGTATTAATAATTAGATAAGTAATAAATAAATAAGTAAATAATTAATAATATAATAACTTTTTTAAATAATTAAAAAAGTGATTAATAAATATCAAAGATCAGTTTATTGCTAATTAAGATTTATAGAAATAACGGTTAAAAATGTTTTTATTCCACAGCAGGCATTTTGTGTTTTGTAAATAAAAATATATAAACGTGGCAATGAATATAGAAAAATATTTATTTCATCTTTGAACATTACATTGGAAGATTACAGTATCTTTCACGATTGAATAATTTATTTACTATCAATTTATATACATAAGTGTCTTGTTATATTCTGATATTACCGATATTTCGTGCACATAGCACGGAACGAAACCAGAAATTGTGCACATGATACCCTCTGAGAACATTCATGGACATTGGCTTTGTTCATGTCCACGTTTTCAATGTCCATAGAGAAAGTATCGCTTTCAGGGATCACCTAAAAGCAGGCCCTGACATCTCTCAGTCTTCTCTCTGCACTGGAAAAGAAAATTATGGGTCTGTTCATTTTAGCTGCACTGCTGCACTAGTGCAATTAGTTAGAGTGAAAGAAAGTATGTTTGTCTTTTTCTAACTTATTGCACTAGTGCAGTAGTGCAGCTAAAACGAATAGACCCTATATATGGCTGCTTCCATTGATTACGTTGAGTTCGTGTCTGTGCGGAAGCTATAGGTTAATATTATATATTAATATCAGTATAAAGTAGTTGTACACACTTTACATGCGTGCTTTATGTATGTTCGAAATCATTTTCTTCGGATGTTAAGTAATTGACTAAAAGTATTCTTTAGTCTTTACCTAACTTAACCTAATCATTGTCGGTAATTGACTAAAAGTATTCTTAGTCTTTACCTAACTTAACCTAATCATTGCCGGTTGTATCGCAATTCATATTATATTATAGCTCATGTATATTTTCTCCATATATTTATATACTTCTATATATATTCATATTTATTTTATCAACAACTACTGATATATAGAATTTATATTATTAGAATATTATTTTTATTATTGTGTATTATTACAATTGTAGTTGCATTAATTCGTGCATTCTAGTAAAACTATATTTTTACTTGTAAGTTAAACTAAAAAATATTTGAAAGATTAGGGAGATATCATCATGGATGATACGAAAATAAAAGAAAATGTACATAAAGGAAAATGTGATGAAGGAGAAGAAATGGCAAAGAATGCTGTTTTAGTTCCTAGCACTTCTCTACCAGCTGATACACCTACGGTAAAAGGTCTTTATTTCTCTATATTTTTCCAGAAGAGTTCTTATTATTGTTACTATATAAGTAATAACAATAATAAAATTTTCTAGGTTATGATTTTAATAAAGGACTTGATTATCATGAATTATTTAAGATCATGACACATTGTGGATTTCAAGCTACAAATTTGGCATTAGCGATTGAAGAAGTAAATAAAATGCTGCATCAAAGAAGCGTTCCTCTCACAGAAGATCAGATTGATCAAATGGAAGAGGATGAATTTATTAAAAGAAAATCTTATTGTACAATATTTTTGGGTTATACATCAAATATGGTATCTAGTGGCATCAGGGAAGTTATAAGATTTCTTGTACAACATAAATTGGTAAATTTATGCACTCGAGATTTATGCTTCTATTCAGTATATATTCTTTATGATTTTATAAACAATATGTTTGTAGATAGATTGCCTCGTTACTACAGCAGGTGGAATAGAAGAAGATTTCATTAAATGTTTAGCACCTACATATGTTGGTAGCTTTTATTTGGATGACAGGCAGCTTCGAGAGAAAGGACTTAACAGAACTGGAAATTTATTAGTACCAAATGACAATTATTGTTTATTTGAGGATTGGGTAATGCCAAAATTAGATGCAATGTTAGCTGAGCAGAAGGAGAAGGTATATAAAATGTTATATTATTATGCAAGTTAATTACAGCATAAATGTATGTTTTTATGTTTATCGAACTTTAGGGTACTTTATGGACTCCATCCAAGATGATAACCAAACTTGGCGAGGAGATTAATCATGAAGATTCAATTTATTATTGGGCTGCAAAAAATAAAATTCCAGTGTTTTGCCCGGCTTTGACCGATGGTAGTCTTGGTGATATGATGTTTTTTCACTCATATAAAAATCCAGGACTTGTACTCGATATAATTGGAGGTTAGTGTAATTTATATTTATTAAATATGTATATTGATTTTAATATATATATATATATATATGTTAGAATTAATAAATTTCCAATATTCCAAAGATCTCAAAAGATTAAACCGGATAGCTATGAAAGCGGTGAATAGTGGCATGATAATTATCGGAGGTGGCGTGATAAAGCATCACATCTGCAATGCTAATCTCATGGTGAGATGACTCTCTTTGACATGTTATTTGGACACATACATACAAATATCGTGATAGTAACGATATTTCATCTTACAGAGGAATGGTGCGGATTATGCCGTTTTCATCAATACTTCTTCGGAATTTGACGGTAGCGACAGCGGTGCACGACCCGAGGAAGCGATTTCTTGGGGAAAAATTCGAAAGACTGCTACTCCGGTTAAGGTAACAAAATTATCTCCATTGGTAATTTTTAATGGCGTAATTATGTAATCAATTAAGTTGCGTAATTTGTTGTTTCAGGTATGTGCTGATGCTACTTTAGTATTTCCAATCTTAGTAGGAGAAACTTTCGGAAGATATTATCATTATTCGGGGGACAATACCAGTAAAGTAATACCAAACAATACTAGCTGTGAGGCAGGTGTATAAGACATATAATAAAGAGATTTATAATATAAAACTTTGGATATGTATTATATAATATTATATAATGTTACATAGTGTTATATAATGTTATATAATGTGTATATAATTATAAATATTTGAAAAAAATTACGAAAAAGAAACAGTTTTTATATATTTAAATGTCTAAAAGCAACATAACTATCTATTTATTTAGATATTTAATTACTTATTACATTATCCCCTATACATATAATAATTTATTATATTTATAAATAGTATATTTTATTTTGTATTTATAAAAAAATTAATTTTAATTTTTCATATATTTGTTAATAAAAGAAGTCACAAAAAAGTATATATATATATATATATATATATATATATATATATTTACGATTTCTTTTATAATAAACATCTATGAAAAGTTAAAATTAATTTTTTTTTAAATACAAAGAGTACTGTACTATATTAGATATAAATATGTATAAATGTAAATATACACATATATATATATATATATATATATATATATATATATATATGAATGCAAAAAATACAGATATTTATAATTATAATATTAATAACTCTTGTCGAATTTATTAAAAAAATTAATTTTAATTCTTCATATACTCAGCATAAAAGGAACTGAGAGAATATGTGTAAGATATGTAAATATTTCGTTAAATATTAAAAATGTAGGATTCTGTAATTGAAAAATCGAATCTTCCGTTTAATAAAACGACATGGCCGCGCGCGCATTTCATCCTAAAGATCCCATTTGAGATGGAAAATACGCGTTCCTTCGGTGTCCGCGTTCGATTTCGGAAACGCCGTGAACGCGGCAAGCGACGCCTGCGCAATGTTGGCCCGACTGCGCAGCAGGTGTCTGCGGCGCAGGTTCGCCAGGGGTGGTAGGGGTGACAGCGCCGCTCGTCAGTTGTCACCCGTGAGCCCGCGTTCGCGGACGACGGGCGTGTGAGATCTACCCCCGAATCCCCCGTCGAACTCTCCCGCGGCAGTCAAACTCCCTTCGAAGGTCTGTAATTTTTGACTCGCCACCCCCGCGCGGAAACCGATTACTGTTCGCGATACGTCATCGACCGCTCGTGATTGTCGTCGTCGTCGTCGTTGTCGTCGTCGTTGCCGTCGTCGTCGTCGTTATCAACCCTCCTCCCGCAGCGGTGGTGGTGCTGGTGGTCGTCATCGGCATGAACGATGATGGACGTGGAGGAGACCAACACGGCGTCCACCGCGAGCTCGTCGCCGAGACCCTCCAGCCCTGTCGCGGATTCCACTTTCATCAGGTGAGAAAGAGAGAGAGAGAGAGAGATCGAAAATAATTTCTATGCTATTCGCGACGATCGCGGCAAACTTCAGTTTTCATTTTATCGAATCGAAAATTCGACTCGTCGGATTTTACGGGATTTACACGGGGCGTATGTAATTATTATGTGCGCGGATAGTTTCATTTGTGCCCGGTTTCTCGGCAAATTTGCCCGTGTTATTTCACCTGTTTTTATTAACTTTGAATATTCAAGAGATAGTAAACAACTTCACGAACATAACAACGTAGAATATAACATGGGAAAATATAATAACATTAATATAATATCATAATAAAATAATCGTATTTGTGCGTGTGTATTTTGTTCACACACACATTTATATCGAATACATATACAATGATTGTATTTTCCGATATAACTTTTCGAACGAAAGATCGATTGGGATAAAATGCCGAAAATTTTTCAAAATTAAAATATGCGATTGAAATGTATGTGTGTGCGGTCCGAATTTATCTCTATTATTCAAACAAGTGTATTCGTACAATTTACATTCTTTTGGTTTTAATACATCTCGATCCGCCTATCTCGGACATTTCCACCGAGGACGGACAAAGTGTGTTTCTCACGACACCAAGTTGGACCAATTTTACTCGACTTTTATTGACACGATATACACTTGGACAGTGTGTGACGTACACACGGCCTTCAGGAGAGTCACTTGTGTGACGTGCGCGCTGTGCGATATTATGGTTAGACGGCGAACGTAAGGTCTTGTACAGATGGATCCGCGTATATACATACATACATACATACGTATATACCTCATAGGAGCGGGGTATACACGCACGGGCGCCGATTAATAATGCACACATTAAGTGCACCGCCCCTCTCACTCTAGCGTCCAGAGAGAGAGTCCGCTCTCCGCTATTCTGTTGATTTAAAAATGCAAGTAGCCGAGCACAACGAGCTATCGAGGCGCGCCACCGTGAATATACTCGATCTCTCTCGAGATATATCTCGTCTTCATTTTGCAAAAATAGGAGAGATGGTTTAGAATACATATCAAGCAGATTATATTAGATATTCAATCTTATATATATATATATATATATATATATATATACATATATATATATATATATATTATTCCTGGACAAAATTAACGCATAATTTTTTTTCACTTTTTCTTTGAAATTTTTTTGTTAAAATTTAAATATCAGCTTTTAAGGAAAAAGTGAAAAAAAATTATGCGTTAATTTTGTCCAGAAGTGTTATGTATATATATATATATATATATATATATATATATACAATTTTATATATATATATATATATATATATATATAACACTTCTGGACAGAGTATTTTAGGAGTATACTAGTAAATATTTTGGGAGGTTATAGCATCGATTACTTTAATAATGAGTCAAATAATTCGTACAAAACTATAGATCTAATTTATAATACATATTGCTTTATATATATATATATATATATATATATATATACACACACATATTTTTTTTGTATTTCTTTTTTAATAATTTACTATACATGCTATAATATTATCATAAGAATTGTAAAATGCATTGAGATTGGCGATAAGATTTTTGGATTAACAATTAATATAAACTGTAAATTTACTGTAAATAATTTGTCAATTATTCGTGTGTTTTGTATCATTTAAGTAGTCGATGAGTACAAACAATAAATCATTTATTGTTGTTTAATATCCCTTATAATAGCTTTGTACGTGCCAGTTTCAAACGGAGCTGTATCTCCTCCGCATCCATTGACACATGTTATGAATTTTTTTACTCGGAATAATCGATATGTCACAACCTTCCAGAATATTTACTATTTCTCTTGAAACATCTTGTATATTAGAAAAAAAATATAAATCTCAAGGGGAAAATAAAGGTGAGAAAATTAAATTCAGATCAAATCTCAGATTTCCCGTGTGGATTGCACTGCTGTTACGTTGATTTCCTACTATTAAAGTTAACATAATTTCGATGCTCATTATCTAATATGTGAAATTTTTACAATACTTTTATAATACAATGAAAAAATATCGGAAATTGAATTTACGAAAAATTGAATAGTATTACTGCAAATTGACTTTACCGAAATCATAGCACCTCTCAATCTTTGCGTTTCAATCTATGATAATTTTTGAATAGAGAAAGGACCATGTGCGCAAATTTGCTTTATTAAAATCATGTAAGAAATTTTCCAATTGCTCTTTACTCGAATTAATTGCTACTATTGGTTTATAATAAGTATAACTATTATGTTACTGATATTATTCTACTGATTATAAGTATAATTACCTAATTAATGCGTGCAAATTATTTAATTTCTTTTTATACCACATTTCTATTTGATAAATGTGAGTAAAATAGCTGGCTCTCTATGTATTAGATCAATGGGTATCGAATAATCAATACTAATTAATTCAATGCGCATGGTGATGCGGAATGGGCGGATTCATTGTGTAATTACGCGTATACGTACAAATAAATGTTTCTCGAGATATCTTGTATCTATTTGTAAATTGATGAAATCGTTTATTGCAACTTTTGTGTGCAACAGTTTTTAGCGTGATAATTATAAAAAAATAATCTTACTAATTAATTTTCAATAATAATAATTCATACATATAATATCATCGATTTTTTTTCCAAATTTAATTCAATTTGTGAAATAAATAATTTTGCTGGAAAGAAAAAGACAATTTTCAATTCCTGAAAAAATCCAAAATAAACATAATTCTGAAATATTCGATATATTATATATCTCTCTTTATATATATCTTCTTTTTTGATATATTTTATTTTTAAGCAATTCTAATATTAGAATGTTTCTTCATGTCCTTCGACGGATAAAGAAATCTCTATTATTTTATTTTGATCGCGTGTATCCTGTGATTGATTCTTTTAGTACCATTGTGTTATTTGATATATATATTAAAAATATCATATTCTTTATACAATTATATATTTTGATTCTCTCTCTTCCTCTTATCGGTCATATATAAAACACGCGCTCGCTAGGTCGAGGACGTGAAATTACGCTGCCAGGACGAATAAAATCCGGCGCGTGTGATCGGACACCTTTAGACGCGGATATTTTCGGATGACCCACTTCATTCTATCCGTCCAAAGGCGATAATTATCGACGATACTAGGAATAGCGGCAATACGAATGACATGATATGGATGATGTCGACTATTCTTTCACGTAGGAGATCGTTCATGATATCGAGTAACGTTATATATCGGATATTTATATTTTGTATAACGAAATGCTATCAGGACAATATAATCCGAATGAATAACATCCGATTAAATAATATTGAATTTATTGTTTTTAGTATTTTATTGTATAGATTGTTTATTAAATTGAACACTGGTTTGTCGTGAAAATTAGTGTTGGAGTTTTTTTTTAGATTTCTGTTTAATAGTAAGTCTTATAATAATAAGCCATATAATCATATAAATGAATATAAAAATTTGTCATAGTTGAAATTTGAAATAGATATCTTTTTGAATTTTTATTTAATTTAATTTCGGGATAATTAAATCTCACGATCATTTATTCATTTTATTTTACATATTCTGGGTAATTTTCAAAATCTATAGATTACGAGAATTTTATATCTTTCGGACAATATATTATAAAGCTCCTTTCTTATAAAAATAATCGATAAACTTCACTCAGAGGTACGAATGATTTTCACACGTTAATACTGTAATCAATTAT